TTGAGTTTGATCCTTAGTAAAAAAAAAAAAAAAAAAAAAAAAAAATTGGTATTAGGTAGCCTATGGATAATCATTTTTAAAGAAATGGAGATTTTTAGAAGAATATGGGAAGCCAGGCATTGGTGGCTCATGCCTGTGATCCTAGCTACTTGGGAGGATGGAGGTTCAGGGCTAACCTAAGCAACATTTTGTGAGACCAACCCCCCCTCCACCCCCGCCGCTGCCATCTCCAAAATAAACAGGCATGGCTCAAGTGGTTGAGCAAAACCCTGAATTTGAACACCAGTACCATCAAAAAAGAAAGAGAGAAAGAGAGAAGTAGGGAGGGAGGGAGGGAGGAAAGGAAGGAAGGAAAGAAAGAAAGAAAAAAAACAGAAAACAACAAATGTTCTCTAGGATGTGGAGCAAAAGGAATCCTTTTACACTGTTGGCAGAAATCAGTACAGCCACTGTGGAAATCAGTATAAAATTAAAAACAGAATTATCATATGATTCTGCTACGCCATTCCTGGGCATATATTCAAAGGAATGTAAATCAGCATACAATAGAGATAGAGATACCTACACACCTACGTTTATAGCAGGACTATTCACAATAGCCAAGCTATGGAATCATCCTAGGTATCCATCAACTGATGAGTGGATTAGAAAAAATGTGTGTGTGTGTGTGTGTGTGTGTGTGTGTGTGTGTGTACAATAGAGTATTGTTCAGCCATAAAGAAGAATGAAATGCTTATTTGCTGGAAAATGGATGGACCTGGAACTCATCACATTAAGTGAAATAAGCCAGAATCAGAAAGACAAATAATGCATGTTTTCTCTCATATGTGGAATCAGTATGGGGCTGGAAGTGTGGCTCAAGCAGTAGAGCACCTGCCTAGCAAGTTCAAAACCCTGAGTTCAAGCCTCAGACACAGGCCCTGGTGACTCACACCTGTGAGACTAGCTACTTGAGAGGCTGATATTGGGAGGATCAAGGTTCAAGGCCAGCCCAGGGAAATAGTTTGAGAGATCCTATCTCCAAAGTAACCAGTGCAAAATGGACAAGAGGGGTGGCTCAAGTAATAGAGTGTCTGCAAAAACCCAGTACTAAAAAAATAAATAAAAAGCTTTCAATGCTGTATTAGAATCTTTAGCCTGGCTCTAGTGGCTCACACCTGTAATTCTAGCTACTCAGGAGGCAGAGATCAGGAGGACTGCAGTTCTGGAAGCCAGCCCTAGCAAATAGTTTGTAAAACCCTAATCTCAAAAAAATCTATCACAAAAAAGGGCTCAAGGTGTAGGCCTGAGTTCAAACCCCAGTTCTGAAAACAAAAACAAACAGAAAAAAAGAAATCTTTGATTTTGGGGCTGGTATTGTGGTAGAACACCTGCCTAGCAAGTGCAAGATCCTGAGTTCAAACCCAATACTGAAGAAAAAAAAAAGTATGACAGGAGTATAAAATGGGGAGAAAGTTTAGGGATGGGAACCATCTGAAGGGCAGAGGGTGAAAAGAGGGGATTGGTGAATATAATCAAAGTACTTCATATGCATATATGAAAATAGAATCTGTTAAAAATATTTTTTAAAGGATAAGAAAGAGTAATAGAGAGAGTGGATTTTATCAAAGTACATTACATACGTGCATGGAAATATCACAAATATCCCTTTGTATAACTAATATGCACTAATAAAATATAGAGAAAAATACCCAGTTTAATTTTGGGATAAGAGGTGTTCAGTCCATGTGCTGAAATATGACTATCACTGCCCAAACAGCTGTTTCCTCAGCATCACATCTTTGCAGGGATCCTCAATCTGGACTCTGTGGATACACTGCAGTGGATCATTGAACTCTGAAATTTGTGTGCGTGTGCGTGTTTACACGTATTTATTTTACTGAGATAAGAGTTCAAAGTTTTCAATAAATTCTGAAAGAGGACCTTTACCTAAAAAATGTTTGAGAAAATCTAAGAATCGATAACTGAAACCAATAGATAAGAGGATTCTTTTCTTAACCATAACTCTTTCTCTTTACCTCCTCATAGTAAACTCCTTTGTCCATAATACATCTTTAGAACAACAAAGGATAAGGTAAAAAGTATTAGCATCATGGAAAGAAGTCTCAAGGTACATACTATTAGCACATACAAACTGATAACCCAAAGGCATAAATTACTTGATCCAATTCATCTCATCTTAAGAAACCAAAGGGTTATTATATACAGTTACTTTGTTTCATTAGTAGCTAGATGGTTCCTAGCACCAGAAATAGCAATTTAAATTGCAGGTAGTGGGCAATTACCATAAATTCATGAAAAGGGTAGAAAATAAACAACAGTCTAGGGATGTAGCTCAGTTATAAAGAACTTGCCTGGGTTCAATTCCCAGGACTATAAGGGAAGGGGGAAAGAAGGGAGGAAGGAAAGAAATAAACTGAGCATGGAGGCAGAAGCCTGTAATCCCAGCACTTGGGAGGCAGTGGCAAAAGGATTGAAAGTTCAAGGCCAGGCTGGGCCACATAGTGAGACCCTGTCTCAAAACAAGAAGGAAGAACTGGGGGCATGGCTCAAGTGGTAGAGTGCTTGCCTAGCAAGCATGGAGCCCTGAGTTCAAACTCCAATACTGCCCAAAAAAAAAAAAAAAGAGAAAGAGAATAAAAAAGAAAAAGAGACTGAGAGAGATAAAACAGAAAACAAACAAGAGCCAGGTTTCCTATACTGCACCAAGTTTAACACATTCCTAGTTTAACTGCCTTTTAAAAGCATGTGGGTTTCACCACCACCCAAAAATATAGCCAACAAAATACAACCCAGCCTCTTTGGCCCAAGGCCTGATGAGTTTTCATGCCTGCTTCAGAATGGTGCAAAGGTTATTATGCCTCCTTAGTTTTGGCCTTTTCTTGCTAAAGCCCAGCTTACAGCTATGAGGATAAAACAAATATTCTATGTAAGTGCTTAGACTAAACGAAGCACTCAAGAAAAGGCAACTCTGCCCCTCCCTGGAGGCTCTCTTCTACTTTGCATCCATCCAGCCCATCTCTATCATGTCTCTTCTCTTAGACCTTTCTATCACCTACTTCAAGGAACTCCTGAGTTACCACTCTCTTAAAACTAAGATATTCCATCAAATCACCCAGGACCTATCAAAAACATTTTGATTGGCTTCATATAGTTAATGTATCCAATAACTTTCATCTGCCCTGCATCTCTTTTCTTCAACTTGCACCGAGTATCTGCCTTCACCTTCTTTTTGGTGGTACTGGGGTTTGAACTCAGGGCCTTACACCTAAGTTCAAACCCTCCACCAAGTGAGCCACTCATCACTAGCCAGTGTTCTCTATGTGATCCAGGCTGGCCGTGAACTTGCAATCCTCCTGTCTCTGCCTCCTGAATGTTGGCATTACAGGCATGAGCCAAATGTCCACTTTCTTCTCTGGTTGCTGTAAGTGCTTTTCCTCTTGATTCTGCTCCTCAGTTAACACATCTTACTTTAAACATCTCTTTCTGATCCCAGGGAGCCTTTCCCAGAACTAGCCTTCTTCTTCAAAAATACACAATTACCCAGTTTCTCAAGAGGCTGAGGCAGAAGCATCACATGAGCCCAGGAGTTCAAGGTCAGCTTGGGCAATATAGCAAGACCTCGTTTCAAAATATGTGCGTGTGTGTGTGTGTGTGTGTGTGTGTGTGTGTGTGTGTCTGTGTGTGTGTACATTTAGACGTTCATATACTGAAAAGGAGGGCATTTTAGCCACAAATGCCAGAGAGAGATCAACAGGACTATTTTAACAAAAATAAAGGTAAATGTAAACTTCTCTACCTAAGTTTTAAAAACCAACTACCAGCCAGGTATGGTGGTACACATTTATAATCCCAGCACTTGGGTAGTTGAGGGAGGAAGATCAGAAGATAGGTCAGCCTAGCTACACACTGGAAAAACAAAGAAACAAAACTAACTACTAAGGGATAAAATTGAAAAGATACAAAGTAAACAGTACATTAGAAAAAGAATTAGGGTTGGTGAAGTGGCTCAAGTGCCTAGCAAGCGTGAGACCAAGTTCAAACCCAGTACTGTCAAAAAAGAAAAAGAATTGGATGGCCCTTGACTGGAAGCTCAACAAAGTGACAAGATTACCAAAACAGGTGTGGTATGGTGGTTCATACCTGTAATCCTAAAGAACCTTGGTTAGAAGCCAGCTCAGACAAAAAAGTTAGTGAGACCCACATCTCAACAAATAAGAAGGATGTGGTGGCACACACCTGTAGTTCCAGCTATGCCAGAGGCTGTAGTTAGGAGAATTGTGATCCAGGCTTCCCAGACAAAAAACACAAGACTCTATCTAATAAACAATCTAAAACAAAGGGGGTTAGAGGCATGGCTCAAGTGGCAAAAGTGCTACCAAAAAATCAATTAATTAATTAGATAAGATTACCAAAATAAGTTCATGTAAGCCTAGTGTCTAGAATGAGAGACTGAGACCCTCTCTACTATGGAGTAACTGAACTATGTCATTTGGTTCACGGGATCAGTTTCTAAAAGAAATACTGACCAACTGAAATATGCCCAGGTGAAAGTTACCAAGCATGAAAGGATAAAAAATACATCTCATGAAGAAAAGAACAATGTTAAAAACATGTGAGGAAGTTTCACCAGAAAGATTTGGACTTGAGGAGTAAGAGGAGGAATTAAAAAACAAAACAGCCAGGCGCCAGTGGCTCATGCCTGTAATCCTAGTTATTTAGGAGGCAGAGATCAGGAGGATCGAGGTTTGAAGTCAGCCTGGGCAAAGAGTTCATAAGACCCTATCCCAAAAAACCCTTCATAAAAATAGGTCTGGTGGAGTGACTGAAGGTATAGGCCCTGAGTTCAAACCTCAGTACTGCAAAAAAAAAAAAAAAAAGTAATAGGTGCTGTGTGATGCAGTGAGTTTTTCACCTGTGAAGTTATCAAATACAGGTACAGTTTTTCCATCTGAGATGACAGGCTTCTACATCTTCTGTTTTAATGGTTTCATATAACAATGACACTAAGTACTTACCAGATTCTTTTCAATATCTTGATCTGTGTTCACCTCTGAATCTGTAGTCTTAAAGTCAGTCTATAAAGGAAAAACAAATATTCGGAACAGCTAAATGTCACCTTAAGAGAATCAGAACTATTCTAGTACTTTGACTCAAAAATCTGCCATAGGCAACTAAGAAGACAATTATTTGCTCTTCCCCCCATACCAGCTCACAGCAAGAAAAGCAATGTAGTCCTGGCAAATGGACACCAATGTCTACACTGCATCAATCATCCATCCCACAAAACGACCTAATCAAGACCCAACACCTAGTTGAGAGAAAGCCTCAAATCTGAGATGAGCACTCTGCTCCTCCAACCTATCATGCCCATACATCCTCCTACAACAAAGCTCTATTCCTCAAAGGCAGGACATACTGCACTTTTAAGACGTAAGTCAGAGAATTAGTAAGGATTCCTCCCGTAAGGACAGAGACGGGAAGTATGAACGCTAATGACCTGCACTCATCAATTACTCATGGGAAAGACTACACGTAAGTCAAAAAGCTCCTACTAGCCATGAGATTCAACACTGGCTACTGGCTTTCTTATTTCTCGATCACCAAGCATGGCGTTGTATGAAAACAGTATGACAGTTGCCAGCAAAAAGAGAGACAATATAGTACATCACATACATAAAAAAAAATCTCCTACCCTCAGCCACACCCCCCAATTCCATTTTAGTAGTGGAAGCTTGATACTTGACCTGTACAGCAATGTTCTGAGAAAGCTTCAGGGAAGAGCTGTCCTGATCATCCTCCTGCTCCACTCTGACTCCTTCAACCCCATTGGCTGGCGGCACCACAGGTCGGAAATCCAAGCCTGTGTCCCTGCTACCTTCCTTTAGGATGGAGGCTTGTAGGGACTTCTCTTCAGAGCAATTCCTGGAGGCAAGCTGCTTTGTATGGTACCCTGCCTTAAGAGACCGAGTGACTGGATGAAGACTCTCCCGGAGGCTCGTGTCCCCCTCCTCTCCTGTCGTGGTGGCCAAGTCCTTCAAATCAGACTGAGACCCGCTGCCAGAGAGACAAAGGGCTGAGGCTCTCAAGTTTTCTCCTAAAACCTCCAGGTGCGCTGCTGAAGTATCACCTGCTGATGAGCCAGGACTCTGCACTGGGTGTTCCAGATGGACACTTCTGTTACTCTCCTTGGTTATCATGTGGCTACTTACACTCAATGGAGGCGAGTTCTTCTGCTTCTGCGCAGGGTCTTTGGAGCTATCAAAAACACAAGATAAAAGTTTCTGGGCCAGGGATGTAACTCAGTGGTAGGGCACTTGGCTACCATGCATGAGGCCCTGGGTTCAGTTCTCAGGACCACAAAAGTTCCTCTCTTGAGCCACACCCCCAGCCCTTTTTTGCTTTATTTTTCAGGTAGGATCTCAAGTATTTGCCTACAGGCTGGCCTCAGACTGCAATCCTAACTATGGCCTCCTGTATAGCTGGGATCACGGGTACATACTACCACACTCAGCTTATTTGCTGAGATAGGGTCTCACTAACTTTTCCTGGACTGGCCTAGAACCTGCATCCTCCCAATCTCCATCTTCCAAGTAGCTGGGATGAGCTGGCATGAGCTAATGCACCCAACCTCATCCAATCTTAAAGAGAATTAAATATATAATACTTTAACATAAACACTAGAAGAACAAAACTAGACTATGTAAATCCCCTCAATGGTCACAATGACATTTCTGTCCAGCAATTTCATCTCATATATGGGTGGTCTAGTTTGGTGGGTGAGAGCTATGGTTCTGGAGCGAGTCTACGGTAAATGCTCAAACATAAAATTTTGAAAGCCCATTTGAATAACTTTTGGTGATATAGATAAAAAATAGCCCAGTGCTAATTAGAATGTTTAATTATATGTACTGATTTAGTTATACATTATCCTTTCAAAAATAAAATACTAACTTAGGATTACTATTTTTATTCCACGCATGTTTTGCAAATGCAATTTCCTTCAACTCATCATACCAACCTTGGACCAGAAGTACTTTTTCAGTTCTTCAACAGTTTTCTAGAGCATAGTATCACTTCAAGTTGTCAAAAGTACAATTTTGCATCCAAAATTGAAGTCATCAATAGAAATTTTATCCCATATGCAAGTATATGTACATTTAACATTGGAATAATTATTTTGTCATTTGTCACAATGTATTGTGGATCAAACCAAGGACCCAGCTATAATACCATCTTAAAGATCTCTTTATTCTGGGCACCAGTGACTCACGCCTGTAATCCTAGCTTCTCAGGAGGCAGAAATCAGGAGGACCGAGGTTCGAAGCCAGCCCAAGTAAATAGTTCATGAGACCCTATCTCAAAAAAACCCTTCATAAAAAAGGGCTGATGGAGTGGTTCAATGAGTAGGCCCTGAGTTCAAACCCCAATACCACAAAATAAATGAATAAATAAATAAAATAAAATGGTGTTTACAAATGTCTTTACAGTGACATCTAACATTCATATTGTAAGTCTTTCACCCAGAAGTTAAATCTACATTAAATTTCTTTGCCCTCCCTACTTTAAGTGGCTCTGTCAAATGACCCCTTAAGCATCCCAAACATAATGAATAAAGCGTCAAGCCAAGGTGACTTTCTTCCCTCAACAGTACTTGTTCAAAATAAAATAAATGAGACTAACTGTAATATGGAAATCTTTAAAAATAATCAAAGTGATTCCTTCTTGCTGGAAGTTAATGGTTACTCTGTGAGTGGGAAATTTAATTATTAACTTGGATATATACAGTGCCTGGGTTTGTTTGGTTCTAGGCAAATTATTTCATTTGTAAAACAGAAATCCTGCATCTAGTAGGATTGTTGTGAAGATTACATGAGGTAATGTTATTTAGTAGAGTACCGGCCATGTAGTAAACATTCAATAACTCTCAGCTGCTATCATTCTTACTAGTAGTATACGGTTGATATTGTTTATAAAATTAATAAAGACACAAAGATCCAAGTTTATGGGTAGATTTACCTAACAAGCCGCTTCGGTGTCTCCACCAATAACTAGCAGCCCTGAGCCCCATCATACACTAACCGAGGTCCCCTTTACACTCTCTGGCCCCAGTGATGGGGATGGAGCTCAGAGCCCCATGTATGATAGGCAAGCACTCTACCACTGAGCGATACCCTCAGCACCACTCTTAGAAACACAGTTTACTAACACTGTCCAACATATGGTAACCTTGGGCAAGTTGCTAACCTCTCTGGGTCTCTGTTTCCCCATAATGAGAATAATATTAGCACCTACTTCCTGGGACGGATACGAAGGTTAAACGTGTTAATACATATAAAGTTCTTAGTACAGCAATTTATTGCACTAGGTCCCAGTGTTGAACTAGTAAATTTAGTTCAACACTGCAAATAACAATGTATCAGCCATTTTAAAATGCAAGATATAATTCTGCTCTCAAGAGTTTGGATGAGCCAGGCACCAGTGGCTCACGCCTATAATCATAGCTACTCAGGACTCAGAGGCAGAGATCAGGAAATCAAGGTTAGAAGCCAGCCCAAGCAGATAGTTTTGTGATACCTTATCTCAAAAAAAAAAAAAAAAAAAAATCACAAAAAAGGGCTGGTGGAGTGGCTCAAGCAGCAAAAGTGTCTGCCTAGCAAGCGTGAGGCTCTGAGTTCAAGCCCCAGTACCACCAAAAAAATAATAATAATAAAAAAAGTTTGGATGGGAGGCAAAATGTATTCATTATGCAAGAGGCTTAGTATTAGTAAAGGAATATACGTTGATACACATATATATCTGTGCTTGTATTTACCCATATACATATATATCATGTATATACCTACTTATAAATATGAGTTTGATATATAAACATATGGTAAATAAATGAACATAAAGTCTATGTACGGCAGGGTGAAGAAATATTTGCACTTTTGATGAGCTGATCCCAATCTCTGCATTCCATGCCTGCTGAGTATTAGCTGTTGTGTTGGATACCAGAAATACAAAGACAAATCAGAAAGTCCCTACCTTTAAAAAGTTAATTTTAGGCTAGCAGAGTGGCTCAAATGGTAAAGCACATGCCTAGCAAGTGTAAGACCCTGAGTTCAAACTCAGTCCCAAAAAAAAAAAAACAAAAATCCACACATACCTTAGACCATCTGGGAGACCTTCATCTGACTTGGAAGCACATAAACTCAAAGAAGAGTCCGGAGGACTGGGGGCATTGGCCCCAGCACCAGCTACCTCAGAAGCGGCCATGGTGCTTGGTACCTTCAAAAACAAATTATAAGCTACAAGTTTCAAAAATTTAAAACAAATGTATCTTTCCCCCTGAGTGTCAATGCAACAGAATTCTTCTAAGAAACACAAAGAAAAACTTTGTACTTTGCAACAATGTATTAAGAGGGCCACTGCAGGCACATATATAAATACCCAGGAGCCTGTGCAAAGCTTTTGTTTTCTCCTTTGGCATAAAGGCAGTCACTTCAAATAGAAGAGAATCCGTGAGAATCTTTCAAATGGTCCACATACCTAACCGTCTACTATCACTTACCTGATTTTTTTGGCTTACTATCAATATGGTGTTTTAAATCACTTTATGGCTAATACCTTCAAAACCTTCTCCATTAATTTAAGTGACTTTTTTTGGAGGTTTTTAAGAGCACAAACACCATATTGAGCAGTCCCACTAGTGTGCTCCCTCCCCAGAGATGGGAAATGTCTGATACCCAAGGCCTGGACACACTAGATTCTTCCTAGCTGCTGCAGTGGGGCAAAAATGCACAAGACTTGGTTGGTCCAGCAGAAAAACGAGAAGCTGAAAAATATGGTTAACACAAGTAAGGGAACCCCAAAAGATGACTTTTTTTTTTTTAGGAATGAAAAGGTCATCCTTCGTGCGCAGGACAAACTCATAGCCTTCTATGAGAAGAAGAAGAAGAAGAAAACCTGGAGGTGAACATAAGGTTAGTTACATTCCTGCTTTTATTTTATGTCGACAGCATCACAGGGATACCCCAGAACCCTGAGGAGTGCACAAAGCAGATAGAGAGACATGGCTGTGTCAACACTCAGTCACAACCCCGTGCCTCAGTTTCCCTCATTACTCAAAGCTCCTAAATGAAAACCGACCCCGAAACGCCATTTCTGCTCTCTAAGGTGTGAACAATTCTGTCTCCACCTGAGTCCAGGGTCGAGATCACCGCCCGGTATAGGAAACCACGGGGCAAAGGTCAGACAAGCAACTCCGTGGTTACAGCCCAAGACCAGGGGCGGAGAGGGGGTTGGGGGACACAAGCACATCTGGCTGGAGAGTCCACTGCGCCCAAGGGACCCCCGCAACTGGGTGGCGGTCACCAGCTAGGCGACGACGCGGGAGCCTCAGCTCCTCCCTTGAGGGGGGCACGGGAGCCGGACGGGAAGGCGGACAATGGGGGGAAGCAACACCGGGTGATCACGGCCACCCTCGACAGGGGACTGCAAAGCTGACCGTCTGCTCCGGCCAGAGCCACCTCCACACCTTCCCCTGGACCCCCAACCCGCGGCCAGCCCCCGTCCCACTCCTAGGCCAGGCTCCCCACCCCCGTCTCCGCAGCCCCCTCCACGCCCCCCACCACGACCCCCGCCTCCGCCCCGCAGCCCCCTCCCGGCGCGCCCGCCCTGCACACACCTCCCGCGCCGCGCCCCCGGGAACAGGGGGGAAGGGGGAGGGACGGGACGCACCTGTGCGGGCGGAGCGGGGGGAGGGGGCGACCGAGCCACGGGGGGAGGGGTCAAGCGCCTGCCCGCGCGCGGCACCTCCCACTTCCGGCGGCGCGAGCGGAGGGGGCGGTGAGAGAGAGGCCACGGCGGCTCCGTGGCGGCTCCGTGCCGCCCCCGATGGCGCCCTCTGGCGGTTAACGTGGACACGGCCTGCGCGCGGACATGCGGGCAAGAGACCCCTGAGATACAAGTGGACCCTAAAGGGGGCGCAGAGAAGTAGAGCCGCCGAGACGCCAGAAAGATGGCGGAGCCCCTCTAGGAAGATTTCAGAGAGAGTCGGGGCATGGCGGTCAGAGGGACAAGAGCAACGAGGTGTGTTTACAGGTCGGACCCAAGATGCCCTTTTCAGAGGACACTATGAAGAAGAGCCCTCTGCTGGGGGACTCCCGGACGACCGGCGCCCCCAGAGCTAAGCCGCAGCCCACCCCGCCCCCACCCCGGTCCGCGGAGGCCAGCCCGAGGTCCGGTAGTTCCTGGCCGCGTGTTGGCGGCGGGAGAACCAGTCGCTGATTGGCTGCGGCTGCGGGCGGAAGTGATGCTGCTGTCACTGGCTCGGGCTCCCGAGAAGCCGCGAGTTTCCGCAGGGAGGCGGCGGCGGCAGCTGCGGCCGGGCGGGTGAGTTGGAGATCTAGGTGGGGTCTGGACATTGGAAGTCCGGGTGACCCAGAACTCGGGGGAGCCGGGGTCTGAGGATGAAGGCGCTGCACGGTTGGCGCCTTCGGTCCTGGGGTGGGGGACTCCAGCGGGACGAGCCCCTCCAGGATCTTGGATTCCTGGACTGTATGGGTCCTAATGAGGAGAGGGGCGCATTGCACCGAGCAGTCAAGGGCGGGGGCATCAGTGAAACTAGCTCCTGTACATCACCTGGAGCCTAGGAGCAGCGTGTAGGGGGTACGAGATGACAGTCACTTGGGAGCAAAACCTTGGACTTCAAGTTGCCCTTCTTCTTTCTTCTTCTACTGAAAGCTGTGAAGAGAGGCCTAGCAGGCGGGGAAAGTGGAGATCTGCCTTCAAAAGGTATTTACTGTTTCTTCCCCAAAGACTGGAGAATGAAAGTGCTGCTCTGCCCCTGGGAGACAAGAAGAGCTGGGATCTCTTTCTTCTGGAAACCCGTGGTGGGGAGGCTGAGGCAGGAGAGTTCAAGACCCCATCTCAAAAACAAAACAAAACAGGAAAGGAGATGTAGAATGGAGAATTTTGGAAGGACGTGTAAGGTGGCATAAGTTCCCCCTTTCCAAAGAGGCTTCAGCAGAATAGAATGATTTTTCTAGAACAGTTTTAAGTTGGCTCCATTTGGGTGTGTGTCTGAGTGCTGATCCAGATTCAGTAGACAGCAGAGCCTTTCAAAGGAGCCCAGCCACCCACACCCACCTGTCCCTGTTCTCATGGTTGCCCACCAGTTCTAATTTAACTGTTTTGTTTTATCACACCTGGAGTCCAGGTTTAGAGCCTAAACCCTCACCTCAAAGCCAGAGTGGTTACAAGGACAGCTATTTAGTGGTGTTTTCCAATCATTTTTTCTCTCCCTGTGCTCACTTGACCTTCCTGTCTGTTCAGTTTACTTTTCTGGCTCTCCACCTGACTCACCCTGCTGCTGCCTGGACTTCTAGGAAGTGTATTTATTTCCTGCTTTCTCACGAGGGGTTTTGGTAACAGTTATGTCCTCTGCTAAGATTTAACTCTCTGCTAGGACTTCCCTGGCCACAACCAGGGCAGCAAAGGAAAAAAGGGTGGTTCTATTTCTTCTGTTCTTGGGGCCCACAGGTCCACAGTCTGTGTTCAGAGTCAATGCTGCTCACAGTGAAGGTGATGCCTTTCCTCCAGTCTCACAAAATGAGTGTGACGTGGTTAGCCAGGCCAGGAGCTCAACCTCACAGACAGTCCAGGTGGGATTGGGGCCCCATGGTGGGATTTAGCCCTGCGGACAAAAGGACTGAGAAGTTGACTGGGGAAAGATTTATGTCACTTCTAAATAAGGAAGAGTGGGGTCCTGATGTTGCCTGTCATTCATGGGAGCAACATGTACTTTGAGCCCTGGGAGTGGCAATAGTAGGAAGGGTAACATGGTGCCTGTGACACTACTGGGCTATCTGGGTAGCAGGACTGGCCCGTGGTGCTGTGGGAGGTCATCCACTGGGGTTAGTACTGGCCCATACTCCACCTGGGGCTTAGCCCTGTTGATCAGGAGTAAATGTAATTGGGTTGAAGGAGTGGCTCAAGTGGTAGAGTGCCTGCCTAGTAAGTGTGAGATCCTGAGTTCAAACCCCAGTACCACTGGAAGAGAGGGAGAGGATTGTATGAATGGCTTGAAAGAATTGGACTAGGGGTTGCCAGGGGGACACACTGACAGCTCAAAGTCGCCCTCTCAGGTCCTGCGTTGTGAGCTCTTTCATTTATTTATTTTCCTCTCCCTTTGCCTGCAGCCTGCCGCTCTGATGCAGAAAGGGAGGCAGAAGGTGCCACACTTGGATGCCCCCCTGGGTCTGCCCACCTGCCTCTGGCTGGAATTAGCCGGGGTCTTCTTATTGGTTCCCTGGGTCATGGGCCTGGCAGGGACAGGTGGGACCGACACACAGGGCATAGGGGGGCTAAGCTGGGCTGTGCATCTGGACAGCCTGGAAGGTGAGCAGGAGGAAGAGAGTCTGGCACAAAAGGCAGATGCCGTGGCCCAGGCAGCAGGGCTAGTGAATGCTGGGCGTATTGGAGAGCTCCAGGGGCACTACCTCTTCATCCAGCCTGTTGGGCACAAGCAAGCCATGGAGGTGGAGGCCATGCGGCAACAGGCAGAGGCTGTACTGGCCAGGCATGAAGCTGTGCGCTGGCACTCAGAGCAGACCCTGCTGAAGCGAGCCAAGCGCAGCATGCACTTCAATGACCCCAAGTACCCGATGCAGTGGCACCTGGTGAGTCTGTTCTTGTACTGTTCTGATCCAAGTGGACAGGGGCTGCTCTAGTGTATCGTGAGCTTTTCAGTGAGCCCCTCTCCAGCTGTCCCTTGCCTGAGGGGACATATCTGTGGGTCGGGGTGTGGTTTGCCCTCCGCCTCTACCTTCCCTGTCCTCTGCTGTGGAGAGCCAGGCTGCCCGGGCTCACACTTCTGCTCTCCACATGCTAACGTGCTTTTGGGCAAGTCGCTCCACCTCCCTGGCCTCGTTTTCCTACCTTGTAAAACAGAGATTGTAATAGTACCTACCTCCTAGAGTTACGGTTATGATAAATGAGTTGATATCTAGAGGTACATAGAACACTGTGTAGGCACGTGGTAGACACTATTGCATGCAAGATAATATGGTTATTGGCATAATAATTGTATTAGCTACCCCTTTGCCCTGCCAACATTTCGCCCTGGGTTGCCCATGAGTGATGCCAGTCTTCCTGGCATCCAAGATTGTGGCAAAGCTCTCACTTATCCCCTGGGCTCTGCTGCCCCTGACTTGTTGGTCTACAACTTTTGTCTGGCTCTTTGGTGGAGCGTGAAAGGGGCTGCTAGCTATAACTTGTCTCTCTTGCAATTGGGCTATGTGACACTGGATTCCCACCCCTGTCTCCTACAGAATAATCGACGAAGCCCTGGCAGGGACATCAATGTGACAGGTGTGTGGGAGCGTAATGTAACTGGACGAGGGGTGACAGTGGTGGTAGTGGACGACGGAGTGGAGCACACCATCCAGGACATTGCACCCAACTATGTAAGTGGCCTGGAAAGACCCCACCTTGCCACGTCTCTCCTCCCTCATATTGCCTCAGTCTTGTTCCCATTCATAGAGGCACCAAGCCAAGCCAAACAGACTAGGAGTGGGGGAGGTGTTCTTCCTTCTGTCCTTTCCTAGCCAGCTTTCCAAACTGGCAGTCAAGACACAGCAGGTGACTCCAACCCCAAGGGAAGGCAATCCCAGGCAGTATTTCCTGCTTCCTGTTGCTCCTCCCATTCTGAGGAGTAAGGAGTGACACCTGTAAGCAACTTCCTTCTCTGCAGTTCTAGAACCTTTCTCTCTCTGAGGTGTGACCTTTAGCTAGCCCTAAAATCTCTTTTGTCCCAGGCTTCCCAAGCCATGGAGCAGTGAGCACGTTCCTACAACACACAAGAGAGGTTCACTGAGAACTGTGGTCCTTCTATGTTTTGCCCCACTGTCCTTTGCTCATGTCTTGCTCCCCCATGGTGTGCAGAGAGATTATCTTACTGCTCTGGCTTAGAGCCACAGACCCCCAGTTCCTTGTTCTCCCTGACCTCTAGGACCTGACCCCTCCTAACCGGTGAATGGCCACATGTTGCCCCTTCAATATTTCAGTGCCCAGAGGGTAGCTATGACCTCAACTCTAATGACCCTGACCCCATGCCCCACCCGGATGAGGAGAATGGCAACCACCATGGGACAAGATGTGCAGGAGAGATTGCTGCTGTGCCTAACAACAGCTTCTGTGCAGTGGGCGTGGCCTATGGGAGCCGAATAGCAGGTAACTCATGCTTCTTGGCTAGCCTCTGTGGGCACAATGGTCATTCCCTGTCCTTTCTCCTGCCTCATTCTGAAACTTCTTTAGTTCAGCCCCAACATGCAGAGCCTAGAGCAAAGGGTAAGCTCATAATAGGATAAATTAGCTTCTGATTTTTCAGTGTAGCAGTGTTTCAAACATTTTTTAAAAAATGTTTGGCTGCACTAGGGTTTGAACTCAGGGACTTACACTTCCTAGGCAGGCATTCTACCACTTGAGCTACTCTGCCAGCCCTTTTTTGGGTTGGTTATTTTTTGAGATAGGGTCTCACAAACTGTTTGCACTGACTGTCTGCAAACCATGATCCTCCTGTTCTCTGCCTCCTGAGTAGCTAGGGTTTTAGGTGGGATCCACCGGTGTCTGACTCAAACATGTTTTTTAGCAGCAAGCCCCACTATAGAAAACAGGTAAAAGTGGAAATGCTCTTGATGTGGACTGGAGGCACTAAGCCACACCTGGTCAGACTCTTCTTCCCTTTTTCTGATCCAGCTATGCCCCACCTGTGACCCAAGTCATCAAACTCTTCCGCTTCACTACATTGTACTTGCGTTTTCATAATTTACAAAGTTCCTTCTCGTCAGTTCTCCCTCCACAACCCTGCATCTATGGATGCCGCTCCCTCAGTCCCACCTCTCCTGCTCCCAGTCCTACTGATGTTGTGGTTGCTCTCCATCCTTTCAAGACAGCCGAGTGGCTTTCTCCCCCACTAGAACTGGTTCTACGGTTCCTTTACCTCTCAGTCTTTGTCCACGGAGAAGGTGAAGGGAATGAATGGGAACACACATCCCCACACACATACCATGATTTTTAATGAATGCTTGGGAACCTCAGACCCCACAGGCCAGCTGTAGTTCTCTTACTCTCCAGCAGAGAGCAGCAGCCCTCTGCAGGTGAGACTACAGAAGGTCCAGAAACCTTCAGGGTCCAACCAAGCCCCATCTGGAAGCCCCATCTGACCCTGCATGATCACCCACCCCATTTTGGAGGGAGAGATAGGCATCTGTGGGATTAGGAAGAGAATGAGTGCCACATACCGAGCACCTTTTTTGTGTCAAGCACTGAGCTGGGTATTTTACAAGACAAGGACATCTTGGTTACCTATATTCTAGCCTGACTCTTGTCACCAAACTCCAGGATTTTTAAAGTCTCAGTTCCAGCATGACAAGTCATACATATATGTGGCATAAGAATTCAAAAGAGGGTTGGAGGTATGGCTCAAGTGGTAGAGCACTTACCTAGCAAGCATGAGGCCCTGAGTTTAAACCCCAGTATCACAAAAAAAAAAAAAAAATTTCAAAAAGTGCAAAAGAGTGTACAAGAGTAAGTCTCCACATGTTGGTCCCTACTACCTGGTCCCCCATTTGGAGGGCCAGCATCAGTGAGGACCTGCTGTGCCTTCAATGCCTAGGTATCCGGGTACTGGATGGACCACTGACAGACAGCATGGAGGCTGTGGCGTTCAACAAGCATTATCAGATCAATGACATCTACAGCTGCAGGTGAGGCAGAGCAGGACAGGAGAGGGGTGAAGCTGGAGCACCTGGGGCAAATCCTCCAACAAAAGCACAGCAAAGTGGACTGACTAACAGGTCTCACCAGCCCCTCCATCCTGTCCTGGTCTTTGCTTATAAAATTGTTATCCTCATTTCGCCAATCCCCAGCCACTGGGTGCTCAGTTTTAAGCTCCTGTCACCACAGTAATCAGGTTCCCACCTGGAGTGTCCCAACCTGCCTCATACTTATTTTTTAAACTCTTGAGACCTTTGGGAGAAAGTGGGCTTTTTTCTATCACAGGTAAGCCAAATCCCAGAGCCAGTTCCCGCCGCTCCACAAAAATGCACCCACAGCTTCAGGTTGTGGTTCTGGTGGCTGGATGAAGGAGGAACTTGGGTTGGGTGCCGTGACATTGAAGGCACCTGCTCCTTCCCATAACCAGTAGCTCTCTAAAATCCTTGCCATCATCCACAAGATGTTCCTTTTAAGAGAAAGGAGAACTCATCAACCAAGAACCTAGAACCTAGCCAGATTGAACATCCCCTCATGGCTGTCCTACCATCAGGCCTAGTAGTGGGTTCCTCGGTCACAGAGGAATGACCCCATCCTTCTAGGTACTGCCTCCTGTTTCCTGGAACCTGAGAAACCACTTTCAAGAGCAGGATAAAGTAGTCCTTAACTGGGGATATTTCCAGGGAAAGAAGAACCTTAGCACAGGCTTCTATGTTCCACTTTGGAGAAGGAATGGACCTTGAACCCTATGTCTTTTAATCATGGGAGTCCTTTGGGAGGAGAGTAAGAGCCTCAGAAAGAAGAGTGGCCAGCTGAGACTGGGAGACCCTGGATGGGCAGCCCCATCCTGCCTCCACTCTTCCCTCTGGGTATTTCTCAACAGCTGGGGCCCAGACGATGATGGGAAGACAGTGGACGGCCCCCACCAGCTTGGAAAGGTAACTGAACTGCATAAAGAATGAAGACCTGGTTCACCTTCCCGTCCCACCCGCACTCGCAGTACCTGACCTATTCCATCTAGCCCTGCTGCCTCCTTTCAGAAAGAGTGTACCTACCCTGGGGAGGGCCATGGAGCATGAGTTCTTGGAAAGAGGAATGGAACAAAGCTTTCAGGTGCTTCCCTCAGATCCTGTGCTGGGCTTTCCACTCCTGGCCCTGCTCTGTCATCTGATAACCAGAGAATGTCCATCCAACATTGTTCCAGGACTCTCAGCTCCCTCCCCATCTCTAAATCTCTTTCCCCCATGCCCAGTGCCCTTCTCTGTTTTTTTTTCCTTTTCTTTGTAGAAAGAGAACAGAGGGTGACTTGACTGGTAGGTAGTCTTTCTATGAGTGTCTCAATTGACAGCCTGACATTTTTGTTCCTCAGGCTGCCTTGCAACATGGGGTGATAGCTGGTCGCCAAGGCTTTGGGAGCATCTTTGTGGTAGCCAGTGGTAATGGGGGCCAGCACAATGACAACTGCAACTATGATGGCTATGCCAACTCCATCTACACCGTCACCATAGGTAGCAGCTGGGGGCTCTGTGTGTGTGTGTGTGCATGTGTGTATGTGTGCATGTGTGATGGTATATCTTGAAGTGCCCCTGGCTTCAAAGAGTCCATTTAAATGTGTGAACATTAGCATCTTCAGGCCCAGGTAGGACTGGCCCTGCTCTCAGAGAACCTCAGCACTTCCCTGGGAACCCTTTCAACCAATCCCTGGAGATTACCCACCTGCCTCCAGCCCCACCATGACTGGTCAGGCCTCTGCTCTGGCCTTTCTTTCCGTGGGCCATTTTGCCCCCTGCTTGTAGCTTCCCCTGGCTCTCCATTAACCTAAATTAAGGGCCCTCTGCTGTGCTTCCAATCACAGGGTTTGTCACTCCATCCATATTATTTACTTCCCAACTCCCTACTGACTGTAGGCTCCAGGAGATCAGCCCAGCATTGGACGCTTAGATGATAGAGGAGTGACCCTGTCCCTCCTCTTCCTGCTTACCACCCCTTCCGTAATATGGCCCTTTCTCTATGCTATGTCCCTAATGCCTAGCACAGTGTGTAATTCATAGTAGATGCTTCGTAAATATTGAAAAAACCAAACCACTAGGTATAGAGGTGGGAAGCCCTCAGTTTTGCCCTGGAATGTCTTAGAAAAATGGTGCAGAGTACAGAATACCTTCTGCCACTTGAGCTGCCTGCTCAGATGAGGGCTGGGGGGAATCCCATGACAGCTCAGGTCATTTCTAAAGCTCAAAACAGCCCTCAGATTATTCAGAGTCAACTCTGATAGTATCAGATCCCCGCTGCAGGACTGGCTCTTAATCTGGGTTCCCATTTCTCCTCTGGGCCCAGGTGCTGTGGACGAGGAAGGACGGATGCCTTTCTACGCAGAGGAGTGCGCCTCGATGCTGGCGGTCACCTTCAGCGGTGGAGACAAGATGCTGCGGAGCATTGTGAGTGCCTCCTGGGCCCTCCTCACCCTTCTCTGGGCCTCAGGACTTCTCTGAGGCATCAGCCGTGTTGCCTCTGTTCCTGGCTTCCCTGTCCCAGCCCTCAGGCTCCTCTGCCCTCGGAAGCTCCAAGGGCTGAATAAATCTGCATGGATGGTTTTTGTCTTAAGATTTTTCTTGGGACAAATGTCCATATTGTTATAGAAACGAGTGTTGCACTGATTAAACAATTTATTTGAAATGTCTTCTTGTGGTAGAATTTGGGCTTTCAGTACTATCTGTGGACTTAAAAAGAGACCATCATTGCATTGCTATCCAGTCCTTATATAAGTCCTGGGTTCTGTCAGTTCATCCTCAGGAGTAAGGCTAGTGGTTATCTTTATGGGATGGGCAGGAAAGGGAGTCAGAGGACTGCCTCATGTCAGCCCGACAGAGCTCTTCCCCAGAGCTATAATTGGAGCCATGACCTGAGATTGGAGGTTGAAGTAGGGGAGTGGAGCTTCTCTGGCCCATGGAACCCTCGTAGGACTCAGGGACCAGTGCCCTCCTCAAGCAGGCCGCGCTCCATCCTAGCAGGTGTAAGCCAGGCTCTGGCCCATGGTCCTAGACCTCCCTGCCCATCCCTGCTGCCCATCACAGTGTAAAGTGGGGATAGGAGGCTCCAGACCAGAGCTGGGCTGGAGCCAACTGGTGTCAAATTTCCCCAGTGGCTGGGTTGGGAGGTCTCTCTGGGGCCATTGGGAATTAAACTGCTTTGTCTTCCTGCGGGGTCAAGTTCATTTTCCAAAACTAAAATTTTGTTATGCCAGTAAATGACTTTCAGACAACACAATGTTCCAAGGCTCTGTGCCAGTTGACCCCTCTTCTCTCCTCCCCTACCCCAGGGAGAAGAAAAAAGGGAGTGGACTAAAGTCAAAAGCAAGAGAGGTTTTGTGGTGGCCTGGGGTCTGTGCACGCAGGCCATCCCCAGACCAGGCAGAGCTCTGGGGACCAGCTCACCCTGTCCCAGGCAGGTGCCTAAGAAGGCTCCATAGCTCAGTTGTCACAGTTGCTCTGTGATGCCTGCGTTTTCCCTTCCCGCTTCAACTCAGCTTCTCACCCTTACCCCCACCTTCTGTCTGAACTATAACTTGTCCAGAAATGAAAAAAGAGCTTATTTAGCCAAGTCCCATCTTTGGAATGTCCTTGCCTTGGAAGCCACTTGCTGCCCGTTTCTGTCCAATGACTAGGGCAGCTGGGTGGAACTATATTTCTGAGGGCAGGGAGCTGGGTGCGTGTGCTTCCCACAGTCAGCTACCTTGGGAGCTTCCCTGGACTTTCCAGGGGCTCCTGCCATCATGGGCAAGTTCACAGGTTTCACAGCTGCATGCTACACTGTCACTGTGAGGCTCTTTCCTTAACAGGAAAAAAAATCAATCTGCTCCTTGGCACTGACTGGGCTCCTGCTCTCATTGAGACTACAACTTGGAGTGTTTTCCCATCTGGACGTGCACAGTGTCTGGGTGAAAATTACATCTCTTGGCAGCTGCTGTAACAGCTGGGAGGGAGGCAGTGTGTACAATGGAGAAAGGCAGCTTTTGGCGGAAGTTGGCACCCTAGTATCTGACCCAGAAGGGAAGTGTGGAAGAAAGGAGTTCTCTAAGCTGTGCACTGGTACTATGAGCTAAGGATTCAAGTGCCACACAGTGGGACAGGTTTAGCAGGGCCCTCGTCAATTAAATCCTTTGAGGTGCCTGCATTGATGGGACATGAAAAGAACGGATGCTAGACAGATGTGTTCTCTTCCCTACTCTCACCTCCCACCTGAAGCCATGGGTGAGAAAGAGGGGCTTATGGCAACCTATCTGAGGCACCAGTGGGGCAGGGAGGCAGCTTGTCCTGCGGATGGGCAATAAAGGAGGGGTAGGCCATGTAGACTCCAAGTCACAGTGAGCTGCAGTAGGCAAGGACCTGCAATCTCTCCTGGGAACACACTCCCTGGGTTTGTATCAATACCACCCTAGCCCCTGTTGCTGAGTTGCCAACTTGGATTTCCTTGACTAGTGTCACCATTGTTCCAGCTCCAGCTGGTGCTCAGCAGCTCCCCTGGCCACTTTCTCTGTCTGGCTGAGTTGCAGGGGTTGGGGGATGGAGAATTTGGGAACGGGAGCAAGGAACTAAAAGGAAACTTGTCCCCATCCAAACCCTCCTGTGTGCCCCATCTCCCCCATACCACGCCCTCAGAGGCCACTCTGCTATTTCATCATGCCAAGGTCCCTAAGGAGGCCAGGGGCCTACAAGTCTCCTTAGTCTGGCCCTGCCGGTATACCCTCTGATCAGAGGTGCAGCTCTGACAAAGGAAGGCCCCAAGTTGAGAGGCCAAGGACTGTTCTGTTTCCCTCCCTCCACAGCACCTCTGACTGAGGCTCTAACTCCCTCCCACTCCCCATTCCACTTCCCAGGTAACCACTGACTGGGACCTTCAGAAAGGCACCGGCTGCACAGAGGGCCACACAGGGACCTCAGCTGCAGCCCCTCTGGCAGCTGGCATGATCGCCCTCATGCTGCAGGTGCGGCCCTGCCTCACATGGCGTGATGTCCAACACATCATTGTCTTCACAGCCACCCAGGTGAGGACCTGGCCTAGCCTATTCCAAGTTTTGGAGATTAGGAAGTTCAGATTCTAAATGTCCCAAATGTTGAATGCTGTGTCCCTTCCGGAGTGGTATGTGTTTAGTACAGCTGTGGAGACCCATCAAGTACGCTCATACCTCTTTTTTGCTAGTACCATTTTACCTGCCATGGAGAATGGTTGGGCTCCCTCAGTCTGGAACCAGTGCCTCCTGGCTCCCACTAAGGAAGCAAGCCACTGGAGTGGTGACATCATGGGATTTTGACCTTTTGTCCCAGCTTTCCTGGGGGAATCCATTCCTAGTGGCCTCAGCAGAAAAATCTGAACTGGATCAGCTGTCAGTTTGATGAGAGCCAGGTTGTCACAATTCCACTGGCACTATGAGAACACTAACCAGGGCTTGTGTCCTTTCAGTATGAGGATCGCCATGCAGATTGGCTCACCAACGAGGCGGGTTTCAGCCACAGCCACCAGCATGGCTTCGGCCTGCTCAACGCTTGGAGACTTGTCAATGCAGCCAAGGTGAACAGGTGTTGGCAGGCAGGGTGCCCTGTGTGGGAGGCGGCCCACTGCCTAAGATATTGCCTAGTACATCGTAGGCATTCATTAAATGTTGGTTGATTTCATTGACCTGACCACTTTCATCCTCATCCCAGCTGACAGTCATTTTCCAAATCAAAAGCACTCAGGCTCACACCATAACTCAAGTTTCCAAACTATTAGTAGAGAGTAAAAGGGACCTGAGTATCACTGGGACCTTGCTGTTGTTTGGGTTCTCATATTTCACCCTGGACATGGCTATTTCCTCTGGTTCATAACTTGGTGTCCTCAGGAGCATCTGGGGTACCCCAGCAGTAGCCTTAATAAGGAAAGGAAAAATAGAAAGAGAGCTGGCCTTTGAGAATCTTACTGATGAGCGTGTGTATGTGTGTGTTTGTGAGAGTGTAAGTGATCAGTCTTCTCTGTTGATTTGCCATCCCCTTTCCCCCTTTCTTTGAACAGATTTGGACATCTGTCCCATACTTAGCCTCCTATGTCAGCCCTGTTCTGAAGGAGAACAAGGCTGTCCCTCAGTCCCCCCACTCACTGGAGGTCCTGTGGAATGGTAAGTAGTCTGCACGAGGGGTTAATCTTAGGTCCCAGGCCCAGGGCGGGTGGTAAAGAAGCTAAGCTCATCCTCCCTGCTGAGTTCCCCCCCTTCCATCAGGAGCTGAGCTCCTGCCAAACCTGTGGAGTTTTCTTTGACCATTTTAGGACATGTTGCTGCTTCTGAGTTGGCTGGCCCCCTGGCTGCTTAACAAGACCTTTCTCCTGAGTTCCTAGTAGCAAAAAGGAGCTGTGAGCAACCAGCTAGGAAGGCAGTGGGTGGAGTGGGCATGGGGTCTGGGGAGACTCAGCACAGGCTGGAAGAAGTTCCTGTGACTTCCATGCTGAAATCTTGCCAGACAGCTCCTTCCAGCCCAGTGGCCTCTGGATGAAGTAAAGGAGTTGGGAATTCCTTCCTTTGATTCTCAGGCCCATTTCAGAGAGAAAGCCAGGTGGCAATCTGTTAGGGGTGGAACAGAGGCATAAGTAAAGGTCCCTTAGACTAGAGTTAGCTGTCCTCTGCCTCGCCTTCATGGGCCCATGTTGTCTCAGATTGTCTGAGGGTGAAGGACACACCCTCTAAGGTGGCAGTGTGGTTGGTTGTTGAGCACAGAGAACAGGAAAGCCTAATTGGGGGGCTTGCACTAGAGGACCCTCCGTCTGCACTGCTTCTGTTGTTTGGGTGCTGGCGATTGAACCCAGGGCTTCGCACTTGCTGAGGACATGCTGTACCAGGGAAAGAATGGCCGAAGGAGGGAACTCAGTGGGAGGAGAGGCATCCTCCCTCAGTGGAGGGCTCGCTGAGAAGAATTGAGTCGTCCCTCTCCCTAAGCATGTCCAGCTCTTGCCAGTTTCCCTGCATGTAGAAGGAGACCTGGGGCCTGGTCATTGCCTTTTCCGTAAAAGGAATGCTATCTTGGAAAGGGCATAAAACATCAGTTCAGAAACATGCCCAGGAATGCAGTTCTGTCGGAAGCCCCTGGCTTAAACCCGCAGTCTTGGGGCCCTTGTACCTTTTAACCTTTGTCTCCATCCAGTGCTGTTGCCTGTCACATCTGCCAGATGAGGGAGGGGACTTAGAGGATCAGGGTCCTTTCCAGCTTTGTCATCCTCTGCTTCCCATGAACCAGGGGATGTTGCCCCAGAAGGTCTGACAGTCTTCCCTAGGTATTGAGACATCTAGCAACTGCTTATTTGTCACAAGTAGCAACAGAAAGGAGGTCTGTTGTCATAGGAGGGGGCAGGTGTGAGAGGTGGTGAGATAGAGGAAACAGGACACAGAGAAGAGAAGATATGATACAGGGAGTGTGGCTGGGAGGGTAGCAAGCAGGCCTGCCACCATGTCAAAGGCCAGCGAGCATGACCTACCTGACAGACAGAACAGAAGGTGTAAACTGGAGAGCTGACTCGGCGGTTGAGGGAAGGAATTCCATGTGACACGAAACTGAGCAGCTCAGTCCCAAATATTGGACATCCTCGTCCCTAGACCCAAGCTGCTGTCTTCTAGCAGGATCTGGGTGACTCTGTGTCTGGGGCTGAAAATGAATTTTTCAAAAGGCAGAAGTAGCTGAACACTCCTGAGATAGACAAGGAGGTAAAATTCCTCTAAGACTCCAGGGCAGTGTTGATTTGTAGAACTTTCTGCCCTCATGCAAATGTTCGGGAACCATGCCATCTTGTAAGTCTGTTGGATGTCTAAAATGTGGCCAGTGTGATCAAGAAGCTCAGTTTTCATTGTATTTAATTACAATTAAATTTAATTAGGCAGTGTGACTGATGGCTACTATATTGAGCAGCACAGCTGAAGAGCAGGACAGGTCTGCATTCTCCCACTGACAGCAAGTTAGGAGGGAGAAGGAGCACACAGAATCTGAGATCTCTACCAAAGGGCAGGAGCAGAGTAGAGTTTGGGGAGTGTCCTCTCCACAAGAGAGCCTCTGTATTAAAAGATTCCTGAACACCCACTTGCACCTGTCCTTTGTCCTCACGTCTGAGTGTATCAGCGGATCCTCAGCCTACGTGCTGAGTCTCGTTCTTCACTCTCCATGATCTTCCTCCGCAGCCGGCTCTTCCCTCTCTACTCTTCCTCCTCTTTTCCAGCTAAAGTCCCTGCCTCCCTTCACCAGGAAGGAATTAACCAGAGTTGCTGCTACCTCTTGTCACACACTCACTTCCTCTACCACTCAAGACTTACCTCACTACTCAGAGAGCCCTTTTCCTGGTCCCATCCAGGGGCTAGTTCCAAGTCCATTCTTCTGAACCCCCTTGTTGCTCTGATCCTATTAATGGGTAGCCCCTCTCCGCCTCTGGCTTCTGTGGCCCTGTTTACTCCATAGCCCTTCTCCAGCCCTGGCTGAGGTACCATTTCCTTGCTCTGCTCGCTTGCTGCTCCAGAGCTGGGTCAGAACAGCTCCCATCTCTCCACACAATTCCTAGCTCTAAATCTCTTGCTGTGAGCCCTCATGAAATAAATCAGAAGGATAGAGACTGTTGTAGCTCCCACCAGATTATGGCAAACAGAATCTGGACAGAGAGAAGGAAAGGTGAAAAAGACCCCAACTTACCAAAGGCCAAATCATAATAAGCTGAAGATTATCAGCAGAGATTCTTTTGATGTATGTGTCATGCACTGTTCTCAGTGTTAGCTCATTTTAATGCATTAACTCATGGAATTCTAATGGAAGTATTTGTCATATTCACATGCATTGCCACCCAAGTCGCCTTCCATAACAACTAACAAGTGGATGTAGCAGGCTGCTGTGCATACTGCACCCAAAGAGGGATTGAGTTCCGTAATCTTTCACTCCCTTGTCCACCCCCTTCTCTGCCACTTTAATGCTCTCTTCCACCTATGCCATGAATATTTTCCTTCATCTTTTTATTCCTAAATCACTATAGGCTGTTGCTATTCTACTGATATATTGCATTTAACACATACACAATTTTAGATTTCATTATCACCTCTCAAAATTCCAAGTTTCTCCCACTATGTCAGTGCCATCACCACTCCTTAGGCCCTAAAAATGGAGGTTTTAGTCCCTCTATGTCCCCTGTCTCTATTACTACCTCCCCCCAACCAGCCTCACCCTTGCAGGTAATCTTTTCTTTTTTTCTTTGAAGTATCTCTTGAGCAATTCACTCATTCATTCTGCAGATCTGTGACCTACTTTGCCTCAGGCCCTGTATTACGTTCCACAGACTCAAAGATAAGACCTGATTCCTGCCATCAAAGAGCTGAAGTGTGGTGGTACACTCCTGCAATGCCAGCTATTTGGGAGGCTGAGGCAAGAGGATCATTAAGTTTGATGTCAGTCTTGGCGAAGGTAGCAGAGAGACCCTATCTCAAAGACAAAATAAAAACAAAAATCCTGGGGGTTGAGTCATAGAGCGCTCACCTAGCAAGTGTGAGACCCTGAGTTCAAATTCCAGTACCATTACCAAAGAAAAGCTGGGCACGTGGTGCAGTGCATACCCGTCAGCCAGCTACAAAGGAAGCATAAATAGGAGGAGCATGAGCCAGGCTTGCCAGGTATAAATGTGAGACCCAATTTGGAGAAAAAGAAAAGAAAAGAAAGCAAACCTAGGTGGAAGGTGAGCAAGGTCCCACCCCAACAGCAGTGCAGCCAATAGGAATAGGACAGAAGGCTGCACAGAGAATCCTAGGGCCGATGGCAGCCAGGGAGACCCCAGCCCATTTGTTCATTTAAAAAAATAGTACTCCTGTAAGTTACATGGTTCTTTTGTGCAATGTAGGAAGAATTAGTGAGGGGTATGAATTGGAATAAACTAAAAAACAGGGAAATTAACCCTGGGGATGGGGAGGACGACAAATTGTTCAGGAAATATAATCGTTGCTGCTTGGCTAAATTCAATATTGAATTTATAAAATCATTGTAAAGTAAATAAGATATTGCTATAACTAAAAGCTTATGCAATTATTTTGAGAAGGTGGTAGAAGGGAGGAAGCTGGCGAGAAGTGAGGAAGCATGGGTGTGGTATGTTAAATCCTCTCCTGCCATAATCAAGACACAATAAATAATGCTGGAATTGATAGATTATGAAAGCTGAGTGTGGGGGTGTACACCTGTCACCCAGCTACTTGAGGGCTGAGGTGGGTGAGTCACTTAAGCCCAGAAGTTCAAGACCTGCCTGGGCCTCGTCCTAAAATCAAAAAGATAAACCATGAGATAAATATCTGTACACATCTGTTTTCTAAAATTATGAGGCTAGGTTACAGAAAAAAAAACTAAGAACAATAATGTGTTTAATTCTGGGGGATGGCTCACAGAGATGATGAGGAATTGTTCTTTTTCAAGGTAAACACTTTAGAACCAGTTTACGTTTAAAATCGTGCATACTAGTTCAAACCCTAGTACCACCAAACAAACAAACAAACAAACAAAAACCCACACATACTATACTATCTTGATAAATAAAAAAATGTTAAGGATAATTGGGAGGGGATAAAGTAGCGACAGTAATTGTAGACAGCTTTCTTAAGAAGTTTGACAGTAAAGAAAGAGGAGTAATATCTAATATTATTGCTATTAGTCTTGCTATTTTCTGGGTATCGTTCTAAGCACTTTGGATATATTAGCTAACTTAATCCTCCCAGGAACCCTTTGATGTAGGGACTGTTACCAGTCTCATTTTACAGACTAGGCAACGGATTCAATTTTCACAGCTAGTAACTGGCGTGGCAGATTTGAACCCAGGCTGGATGGCTTTTAACACTAGTAGGTAGAGGGAAGTAAAGAGTGGAGAAAGGGTTTTTTTGTACTTGTCTTTCATTTGTACTAGGAAAGACATAAGTAAGGAGATCCAGCTATGAAGATGGATAACTGAGAGAGCAATCCAATGTTTGAATTTTGCTGAAACTGTTGACAGGACAGGAACGTAAAACAGCTTAAGATAGAAACGGTGTTGGAAAGAGGAGCTATGAGACCTTGGCCTGTCAGGAAACCTTGTCCTCGAGGAGCACAGGAAATAAAGGGCCAAGCAAGCGGAACGAGAGGGTTGTTTTCAGACTGAGCAGGACAGGTGGAACAATAGAGAACACACTGTGCACACCCATGCACGGAGGCTGGGAGAAGATGTGCCAGCCTTCTATCAGGGAGTGTGGGCACCTTTTCTTTTTTACTTTCGTTCATCTCCTTTTCTAATGTTCTTCCAATAATTTGTATTGCTTATATAGTAAGCACACCCACAGTGGAAGTTAGTGAAGTCATTCAGAAGTGAGGAAGTCCTGGGGCATGGTCATGGAGGTGAGCACCGACATGGGATAGAGAAAGGTCTTTGGAATTGAAGAGGCCATGGGGCTAGTTCTCACGGACATCGGTGTTGTAGTGGAGAATGGGAGCTGGTGAGGGGACTGAGAGTAGGTCAGTAGGGATAGGGTATAGGAAGGCTGAGCCTTGAGCCTTGCCTTTCTCCTCTAATCCCAGCTATCCATACACATCACCCTAGAATGAACTGGTTCTTTGTCACCTGTTTCTTCTTCTTTCTGGTTCATCCTACCCACAGCCATTAAAGTAAACTTCCTTCAGGTCTTTTTTAAAAACTCTGTCTTGCTCAGTAATTTATAATAGCTCTCAGTTGCTTGATTAAGATAAAAATGTTAAACAAGCCCTTTCTACCCTAGGTTGCCTTTCCCCTACTTTTCAGCTCCTCTTTGAGCTGCTTCATTTGTAAAATGAAGAGATTGCTCTTCACATTGGAATGAATTGCTAGAAGAAAAGGGGCTTTTATTTTTTGTCAGAATTGGGGTTTGAACTTAGGATTTTGCACTTGTTATGCAGGTGCTCTACCACTTGAGCCATGCTCAAGTACCCCCCAAAAGGTACTTTAGAAGTAATTGTTTCTCATTGCAATCTAACTTCTTAATGATCCCCAGCTGAGTGTTCAACTTTGTCAGAGATTTTTTTCAACTATTATTTTGAAATAAGTGTAGATTCGTAGGAATGTACAACCTAATGAGTAGAGTAATCTCTTGCACCTCTCTCCCAATGTTACCATCACACACAATTACAATACAGTATCAAATCCAAGAAATTAATATTGGTACATCCTTGGAGCTCATCCAATTTCCACTAGTTTTGCATGTACTCAGTATCCATATATGTGGGTAGCTGTATGTGATTTGTCACATGTGCAGCCTTATGTAACCACTACAACAACCAAGATTCCATCTGCACCATCGTAAGGCTCCTTTGCGTTATCTCTTTATGGTCACATACCCATCTCCTTTTCCCCTCCCTAATCCTTGGCATGAATGTCATATAAGTAGAATTATGCAGTACATATCCCTTTGAAATTCACTTTTTTTAAATGGGGCTAGGGTTTGAACTCAGGGCTTTGCTTGCAAAGCAGGTACTCTACTACTTGGGCTATACCTTCAGTCCATTTTGCTCTGGTTATTTTGAAGATGGAATTTTGTGAACTATTTGACCAGGCTGGCCTAGAACTGTCAGCCTCTCAATCTCAGCCTCCCAAGTAGCTAGTAGCTAGGTGCGAGCCACAGGCACCCTGCAAGATTGGCTCTTGAAGTTTTTTATCTAGGTTTTTTTTTAATTAGTTTTTTTTTTTTTTTTTTTTTTTGGTGGCACTGGAGTTTGAACTCAGCCTCACACTTCCTAGCCATTCCACCAACCCTGTTTTGTGTGGAGTTTTTTTGAGATAGGGTCTTATGAATTATTTGCCTGGGACTGGCTCTTAAGTAGCTAGGATTACAGATGTGAGCCACTGGCACCTGGCTTAAGTTAATTTTGTACTGTCTTTCATATATGAGACCTGTTCATTTCCTCTGTCTTTGTAAGTACCATTTCCCCTTTCTAGAATGCCTTCTGCCAATCTGTCCCTTTCCTTTCTCAGCATGTCTCACAGCTATGTGCCATCTGTCTCATATCTTTCTCCCTTATCAATTATGTATATTATATCTTATCCTTCTCTATTTGTGTATGAAATGTAGAAGGTATTCAGTAGATAATTTTGAAGTTGCTCATATATTATGTCTTGGCCATGTGTTGTCTTCCCAACTAGAATCTAAGCTAGGTGTGGATGTCAAAGCAGCCCTGCATCCACTCCCTAGTGTACATAGGTGTTTGTATGTGGCTTCAAGGAGCCTGTATCCTTGTATGTTGGGATGAAGTGAGGGCATAAGTATTTATGGGCTGGTTTCCCAGCTGCCCAGCCTGACTTCCTGTAGTCAGCAGGATGGACCTGGAGATGTCGGGGCTGAAGACCCTGGAGCACGTGGCAGTGACAGTCTCCATCACTCACCCACGACGTGGCAGTTTGGAAGTGAAACTGTTTTGCCCCAGTGGCATGATGTCGCTAATCGGCGCCCCCCGCAGCATGGACTCGTATGTACACTTGCCCTTGGCCTCCTGAGCTCTCTTTGCATCAAGGCCTTTTCAAGCAGATACTGACACTGTCCTAAGCAGCCTTGGCCCTGGCTGTCCTTGGCAGCTAGAAGCCATTGAGCACATGCCTTATTTAAGTGCTTAAGTATGCTAGACATTATACTCTACATACATCTTCCTTAATCCTTGTAAGAACCCCGTAGAAGCCAAGCACCAGTGGCTCACACCTATAATCCTAGCTACTTGGAAGTCTGAAAATAGGATCGAAATTTAAGGCCAGCCTGGGCAAATAGTTTATGAGACCCCATCTCTGAAATAACCAGAGCAAAATGAACTGGAAGTGTGGCTCAAGCAGTAGAGTGCCTGCTTTCCAAGTGCAAAGCCCTGAGTTCAAACCCCAGTCCCGCAAGAAAAAAAACAAAAAGCTGTGGAGATTTGCATGCCTGTAATCTCAATATTTGAGAAACTAAGACAGTAGGATCTCAAGTTTGAGGCCATCCTGGGCTACATAACAATACTGTTTCCCAAAAAACTTAAAAGAAGAAGAACCCTTTGGGGTATACTTTGTAATCTCCTTATACAAAGGGGAAAACAAGTCATAGAGCTAGTAAGTGCCTGAGTAAGAATAAACCCAGATCTCTGGAACTCCCAAGCCTGTGCTGTCTCCACATTGGCCTTTCCCACTAAGCCACATGGACACAAGTTCCTCATTCCCTGAGGTCCCAGGGGCAGGGGACAATGAGAACCCTCATGGCCCCCTCCCAATGGCTGTATCTAATGTCATGCTTTTGGGAGACAGATCAGCTCCCTGTGCCACACCTTCCAGGTTTTCTGCTTTCTTCTTTCCCTAGGGATCCCAGTGGCTTCAATGATTGGACCTTCTCCACTGTGCGGTGCTGGGGGGAAAGAGCCAAAGGCGTCTACAAGCTGGTTATCAGGGATGTAGGTGAGCCTTCCTGCCCTTCCACTGTGCTCTGCCTTTCCTGATTGTCATCTGGTCCCCTGCATCTCAGAGGCCCACAGAATGTGTCCCATGTGGAGTCCGTAGGGTTGCTGTTGCAGAGGGCAGATGCCAAGAAGCATGCCTCATCCAAATACTGGGCCTCGATCCCTAAAGCTGCTCATTTATGCTACTGCTGTGTTCCTTGGAGAAGTGACTGATCCATTTTTCCTCAGGATAGCAACCAAAAATCCTTGTTGAAACCACATTTCAAGTCCTTTCACATATAACCATCCTTCGGCCAGCCCTGATAGGCAGGTAAGGGCAGGTCTAATTTTCACCATTTGGTTTTCTTGGAAAAACTGAGGCCCAGAGGTTTGAAGTGACTTGTATAAGATCACAGTAGCAGTGAAGGCCACAACAGCAATGAATGTTGAAATATCTGCCCTATTAGTGAGGAGACTGGACATTGAGCTCAGCCCTCCCTACTTCCAGTCAAGTTAAGTAGTCACTTGACCAGTGAATTTCAAACCTTTCATTTGGTAGGTTTTTTCTTTCAAAGTCCCAAAATACAACGGCCCAAAATATGGAAGATAAATGCAAAACTCTGATTCTAATACAACCTTTCAACCTCTTGTTCACCTGGTGAGGCACCTTTGCAGAACCCTGGGGTCTGGGACAATTAGAAACTCTAGACCAACCACTGTAGCAGACTGTGGTCTGAGCCCCCTTGGGTGGTGGGGTGGGCTGGGCTCCGCTCTTTGGCATGGCCAACAGAGGGATGGCTCAGGGCCCGCCTGTTTGCTGCCCTAGGAAACGAGCCACTCCAGGTGGGCATCCTCCGACAGTGGCAGCTGACCCTGTATGGCTCTGTGTGGAGCCCCGTGGACATCAGAGACAGACAAAGGTAGGTACAGATACATGGTTCAGAAGAGAGACTCCTCAGAAGGGGGTAGAGGAAGAGGCCACCTAGGGAGGCACATTCTGAACTCCAACTGTGCTTCCCAGCCCTAGGCTCAAGCCAGTGGTCAGAGCCGTGCACTGGAAACACACAGCATGTGCCTGTCCTTTTTGCTGTGGACCTTCCCTCCCTCCCACTGTAAGGTGGGAGGATGGGTGAGGGCAGATGGTACGGGAACCATGTTTGGTCAGGTATACTTGTCCCTTTTCTTCTCCACAGGCTATTAGAAAGTGCCATGAGTGGAGAATACCTGCATGACGACTTCACTCTGCCTTGCCCACCTGGGCTGAAAATTCCTGAGGAAGATGGTTACACCATCACCCCTAACACCCTCAAGGTACTGAGACCAGAGCTCAAGCTATGGGCACACACGACCATCCTGGGGGATTTAGTCCTTGGTGCTACCCAAGGTAACCTGGGGACTGAGAGATCAGGAAGACCTTGGTCCCAACAGTAGTCTATAGCATCGTTCCCACTCTGCTAGGCAACTCTTAGCAGACAGTCCCCGTGTGCAGGGAGGGACAGCCTGGGAAGGGGAGAGAGTTCCTGAGCGCATGGTTCTGAGCTGAAAGCAGTCCCTGACATAGGCACTTGGCTTTCCACAGACCCTGGTGCTGGTGGGCTGTTTCACCATCTTCTGGACTATTTACTACATGCTGGAAGTGTACTTGAGCCAGAGGAGTGTGGCTTCTGCCCCAGGTTGTAGGAGTGGACCGTGCCGCTGGCCCCCACGGAGCCGAAGATCCAGGGAGGAGTGGACAGAGTTAGAATCAGTGCCACTTTGCAACAGCAAGGATCTAGATGGAACAGAGACAGAGAGTGGGGGTCCTCCCACCACCTCTGGGCTACTCGTCCCAGACCTGCTTCATGAGGGGGACTGGAGCCCATCCCAGAACAAGAATGCCCCGGACTTCCCTCATCAACGACCCCCAGAACTGTTGCAGGGGGAGGAGCAGATCTGCTGACCTCAGGGTCTGACAGGCTTTTCCTGCCCAAAGTTGGGGAAGCTGCTCCCAACTGTGGGGAGCTCTGGGAAGAAGCAGTTCTAATGCTTACATCTGGAACCTGAGGCCTCAACAGCATTCTTGGGTTACCCTCTGGGAGGGTGAGGAGTGTCTTAACCACAAGTGGCAGAGGACTGCTGCCAGAGAGCAGTCTAGCAGAAGCCACAGGATCTCTTCCAACTGATGGGATTTTGGGGTGAGAAGGCCTTGGACAAGGAATTGGTACCTGTACTGGGCAGGCCTCCATCCCATTTGTCTTGTGCAAGCCAGTGACCTAGGTCACAGAGACCCTGACCCTTGCATGGGTTAAGCAGATGCTTGCATGGTCAGAAGAGCACTCAACAGAAATGTCACAGAGATTACTGGGGAGAGGCTGGGAAGAGCCCCTACATGCCTACTCTGCAAGCAGTGGCCTCCATTCTCCTTTCCCACACTCCTGGTCTCAAGCCAACCTTGAATGTGCCACTGACTCCTTCACCATCACCCCTCCTTCCCCCTGAAAGATCGGTACAATGCTCCTGGCATAGCTGGGGAGGCGCTCAGCACCCAGGGTCTGTGCTGCCTCATTAAGGAAGCCTCCAGCAGGACGGCAAAGCAGGAGTGAAGTGAGAGTGTCTTAGGAGACAGCTTGGGGAGCCACTGCCACTCCAGCCCTGCGACCACCCTGTCTTCCTCTGCAAAGTGCTCAGGGAAATGGCCCTCCCCTTCCGGAGGCCAGCTAGTCTGCCTCATCGGCTTGACTTTTCCTCCTTTTTTTGGCCTCCTCCCTTCTTCTGAGCTAGTAGATTGGTTTGAATTTTTTTAATGCTTAAGATTTGATTTCCTTTTTTCACAGCAACATTTTGTTGAATTTTTTTTCTGCACAGCTTTTCCAAAATAAAAACCTTCCAAATAATTCCACCACTCCCCACCCTTCCTTTCTTGTGCCCCTCAAGGCTACTGAAGGTGGCTAAGTGGCGCCTCTCCCCTCAGCCCTTGAGCCTCACGCCTACCCCTCAACCTGCTTCTTCTGAGCTTCCGGAGGCCATGGGGGCATGGAGGCGCCTCCAGATTACTGCGCCAGCAGTGCATGTGACCCCCAGATGCTACCTGCTCCCTGGTCATGTTTTTGGAACTGTAACAAGTGACTAGGGCAAATCAAACTCTGCCATCCAGGCCTGAGAAAAGATGAATGTATATTTTTTTTTTTCCTTTTTGAATTTCAACCCCAAAAATATTCCAGCAAAAGAAGGGAGAGGCTGGGCTGGGTCTCCTTCCAGGGGCACTTGCTGCCAAGGAGGATAGTGGGCGGACCACACACCCAGTTGTCCAGGCCACTTCCCCTGCTTAGCCCGGGATGGGAAGAGGCAGCAGAGGTGAGGGTGCAGCTGGGAGGAGGGGCTGGGGCAGTGGTGCTTTGGGGTAAGAATTTGGGCAGAGGCAGGGGGTAGGAGAGCTGCCAGTATGCAGTCACCTTTGCCCAGTGACAGCCTCAAAGCTTAGCCAAGGCTAAGAACCTACACAGGTGTGAGTGAGTTGGGCTAAGCAGAACAGCGCAGCCAGGGAGCTGGGGAGGCAGGGCTCAGGGTTGGGCCTCCTGCTCTAACTGATGATCTGCCGAGGTCGTCCGTAGCCTGTCATGCCAGCCTGGGAGGCCCCTCTGTTGCTGCCCATCTGAAGACCGATGACATGCTTCCCCTCCTGCAGTTGGCTCTCTGTGAATTCCCTCTTATGCTCCTGGGCTTTCCTAAAAGAGGAATCAGGATAAGACTTGCCAGAACTTGGCACTTCCCACCTATTTTCTCATCCCTCTGTTCCTTCCTCGTCCAATACCATTCCCTTCCTGTTTCTTTCTTCTTCCTTAATGTAGCTGGCCGTAGGTGGGAGGCCTGCTTAAGTACAAGAGGGTAGAAAAGAAAGGAGTCCCCCAATACTAGACCTTCACAGGTGCCTTCTTGGCTTTCTGCTCCACCTGACCATTCCTACAAGCTGGCCAGCCCAAGCCACCCATCCCACAGAGACCCAAGCAGGCCAGGGATCCCTGGTGGCACATACTTCATAAACCAGTTGGGATCTCCACGGTAGTGCCCATCATTCTTGGTTACTGCCAAGCTGCCCAAAGCCATCAGAGTCCTCTGCACTGCTGCCAGGTCTTTGCCTATGAGAAAAAAGGGTGGTCAGAGGACAAACTTCAGGACTGTATAGAGGACTCCAAGCCAGTGTCTGACCCTATGTTTCAGAAAAATGGCCAAATCAAAGGCAAATGTTGCCCTGAGCCAAAGAGGGGTTCAATAGATCCTGTAGTCAGCCCTTGTGAGTGTGGTGTAGTAGTTTTGTGTCCACCACTGAGCCACACTCCCAGGCTCTGTGGTGTGCTCTTCTCTTGGTGTACCCCATTCCTGCTACGTGTAGGATATTTGGATCATTTTCTTTCCCTGCCTCAGAATCTTGTTTTCTACCTACCCACTGGCCCCAGCCCATTTTTCCTCTGTACCTTCAAAGAGGTCAACAGTCTGGAACATGTCAGTCTTGGTGACCCCATAATCCTCAGCTGCCTTCAGGAATTGAGCCACCTGCTCCATCTGCTTGAAGACCATGGAAGGTGGGTTCTCAGGGACCTTCACTGGCTTGGAGCCGTCAGGATACAGGCTATTCACCAGCTTGCTTAGAATCTGCAGGCATAGGACACAGCTGGGCACTCAGCTCAGGGGCCTGCCCCGTCACTCACAAGATAACACAGCCCCACACCTTTCTACTCACCACACCATTCTTCAGCCAGACCTGGAAACCCAGACGCCCACGGTCTGGGCGACCCACGTCAGAGCCACACTGCACTACAATCCACTCCACTAGCCGTTCCTCCAGCTCTTCATCATACTTCTTTTCAATTTTGGATTGTACTTCACGGCTCATGCCATAGGAAGGACCCTTGTTGGCCATGTTGAGACAGAGCTAAAACAGGACAAGGTAGAGAAGGGAGAGGTTCAAAGGAGCAGGAAACAGGTCTGCTTTCACTTGTACCATGCAGGCCTTCCAGCTCTGTATGGGGTTTCCAGCCATCCTAGACATTTATCACGGCACTACCCATCTGGGCCAGGCTCATCCCCTCAGTGCAGAGGCTTCCCTGAATTTGAACTCCAGGAAACAGGATACCAAATGTTGGGCGGTCTAGAGTAGGGAGTCTTTAAACTTTTTGTGAAAGGACCAGATAGTAAATATTTTAGACTTGGTGGACCATATGGTCTCCACTGTTGTGACATGAAAGCAGCCATAGACAACATGTAAACAAGCATGGCTGTGTGCCAATAAAGTTCTATTTACAAAAACAGTAGTCGGATTTGACCCATGGACCATGTGACAATCCTCTTTTGGAGAAGCTTTCCAGAAGCCATGTTGTCTTTGTCCAAAGCAAAACCAGACAGTATCTTTGTCCAGCTAGGTGTGAGGTCAAGGGACAAATCGCCTCCAATTCTTTATCCTCCAGCCCAGAAGCTGAAGGTGAAAAACTTAAGCGCTTTGCCAGGTCCATTCAACCTCTGGCCTGCAACTGAAAAATCTACCAAAGCCCAAGCGTTCTTTACAAAGAACTCTGGTTCCTGGGGAAACCCACACGGAAAAGACTGTGTGTCCATCCACTTTCCCCTGTGCCCTCGGACTCTGCCCACTGCAGGGACCAAGAAGCCAGAGTCTTATGGGAATATTCCAGGGCCAAGAATCTGCTAGCTAGAGCATAGGAAGCCTGCCCTGTGCAGCAGCTGCTGCCTGAGGACCTAGGCCTGGAACTTCCCCTCCACCACGCATGGAGAGGGGAGGAAGGTGGCTGGGGCAGCAGCAAGCAGACAGGTCATGGGCAGCCGTGGGTATGAGACATGGGCATGGCTGATGAAGAAGAATCAGACGCGGCCACAGGAGTCAACCTCAGGTGGCATTACCATCTGCCTAGGTCTGAAGAATCTTCCAAAACAGTAGCAGAGGAAACCAAATCCATCCCCCAGCCTCAGAAAGGTCAGAGGTTAGAAGGGAAGTAATGGTGTGAGGATGGGGGCAGTGGGCAGGCTCCCCACCTCTCAACTGTGAGAGCTGAGACCCTCTCCCCACCTCCATCCCCACCACCAGCCCCTGTGGGAAACAGGGTGAACATCCGTCGCCCTGGTCCCAACTCTGCTGTCCTTCCCTTTCTTTCCCCATAGCTGACAACATTTCTGTGCTGGAAGAGTTCCCCAGCTGTGAAGTGGGATCATAGGATCTAGCTCAGAAGGCTCTGAAAATGACAGTGTCCGTGAACTACCTCCCACACTGCCCAGCCCTTAGCGATCCCCCAAATGCCAGTTTCCTGGAGGTGACCTGGGACAGCGTCAGCCCTTGGGCGCAGAGTTAAACACAGTAAGTAGTCTTCCCCTCTCGAGCCCACCCCTTTCTCAAAGTCACTCCCTAAGCCCACCACCAAGTTTGAGAGAAAGAACACAAATGGCCTCATCTAAACACCAGGTGTTGGGCACCTCACTTCCTTAAATCCGTTTCCTTGTTTTTAAAGTGTGTGTGGTGGGGGGTAAGGGTGGACCACCCCTGAGGATGTGGTTTTCTAAGCAGTCTCCCCCAGCAGGTGATGCTGGAGGACCTAAAAGCATGGCTCTGCTGGCTAGATAAAAGTCCCTTCCTTCCCCACCCTGCTGTATGTCCCAACTCCCCCCATCATCCAATGACTCCTGGGCAAAGAACTGTGGTCAAAGCCACCAGGCAATGGGGACCAGGTGATTGAGGTCAATCCCATGTGGCTTTTGTCTCAGCCTTTGCCCCACCATCCCAGACAGGCACCTTCTATCCACTGCCCAGCTCTGCTTGCATCTCCTACCCAACTACCCTCTGCCTTCCCTCCCATGCCATGTGCTGGGCACGGGAGGAAAGGCTAGGAGGAGGGTGTCCTCCACACAACTTCTGGTCTCAGGAGGTCCGGAACAGACAGTGCAAGTCAAAAGGTCGAGGCTCACTGTGACCAAAACACAAGATCTATATCTAGAGACGCTATTTGGATTTTGGTCAAAGCAAGGAAGGGGAATGAAATGTACCCCACTCCCTGCTACCCAGTACCACCCTTTTCCCTTGTCTTCCTCCCAGTGGAGAGTCTGAGAGTGCAAAGTTCCAAGAAGAGTCCTCTGATGAAGAGGAGAGGAAGAGGAAGGTGGCAGCAGGCAGCCCACCAGGGGCATTTCCACACAGAGGTTCAGGGGACAGAAGTTATAGGAAGTCTGCATAAGGCTTGCCTTTGACCCTCCTGCCCTGTGGCTCCTGCCAGGCCTCCTTTCCTCTCCCCTGGGCAGCCCAGAGGGAGGGTGGGCAGTAGAGACAGGGGTAGGTGACACCTTCTACAGCAGGAACCCAGCAGAGCAAGAAAAACCAGGAGTCTCTCCAGGACTGCAGTGCCCGCTTGCCGCCCTCTCCCCCATCCTGCCCCATTTTTCATCACCACAAAACATAGCAAAGAGGTGTGACCACATCTGGGTCCCCATGAAGCCAAGAGGGGTGGCTCATGTAAACTCCAGGGACACAGGAGAGCAGTCCTGCTACATCAATGTGGCCCATCCACTGCTACCCTTCAGAGCCATGAAAGGAAAGAATCAAGACCCTTCAGAAGGACCAAGGGTTCTAGGCCCCACCCAGCCATTGCTCTAAAGCTCCTCCACCTACAGCCCTGCCATGCCCCTCTCAGGAAGGAGCAGCGTGCACAAGAGCAGCTCTCTAGTGGTCCTCCGCCCTGCCATGCAGCCTGTTCTGGAAGATAATAAAAGTTCCTCGTGGGCGTTGCAGCTCAATGGCAGAGTGTGTGCCTTGCATTCACAGGGCCCTAGATTTGATTCCCAGCACTGGAAAAAAATTAGAAATGAAAAGTTCTTCACGCTGACTCTAGGATATCCCCGGGGCTCTCCTATGCTGCTCAGGCTTTGGCCCAGCTGGGGACAGGGCTCTGCAGAACAAAGAACTCGCAGCTCCTCTCCTCCTTGGACCTAGGAGGACAGACCACGGCGCCTGGGTTAACCGACGGCAGCACCTTGACCTCCCGCACCTGCAGGACCCTCTCACCCCAGTTGCCTCCACCATCAGACCCTCGCACCAGCCAAGTCATCCGGGGCCTTTCAACAAGACCAGGGCGGCTGCGTCTGAGAGAGACTGGGGCTCTAGGGAAACCAAGCCACCCACTAAGCTAGGATGGCTTCCTGAACCCAAGCCGACTGAGCGACCCCAGCCAGGGGGCTGAGGACCAGGGATCTATTCAGGGTCCAGCCTGAAACACTGGGCTGACGCTGTCAAGCTCCCGCCCCACTTCCCTCCAAGCCCCAGAACTCACTCACTCACAGGGCTCCTTGGGGCTGCGGGAAGGAGTGCGCCGGCAGTCGGTGTCTGGGCACAGACAGACAGGCTGGGGCGCGGGCTGGGTGAGGGGTTTAAAGGGGCTGCCGCCCTGGTGATGTCAGCCTCCCCGCTGGCTCGCCCCTCGCCCCCTCCCTACTTGAGGAAACCGGCTGCGTCCCCCCCCCCCCCCCTCCCAGTGACTCCACACAGGCTCCATATTTGGGGAAAGACACCAAGTTGGAGCAGTCTGTTGGGGCTGCCCGAGACATTCTCTGCGTGCTTTGGAGATGGAGCGGGGCGGGGCGGGGCGGCTCCAGCCGGGAAGAGCCTTTTATGGGCAGGACCTTGAAGGCCTTCCCTGCCGTTGGGACTTAGGACCACTCCTTCTTCATTGCTCCCAGCCCCCGAGTTTGAGGGAAGGAGGAGTTCAAGAGTGTCTGGTCAGAGAGAAGAAAAGAGCAAAGGACCTGGAGATCCCACAAGCCACCTTCTTCTCCTGGAACTTCAAACTCTAGTTGGAGATGGGAACTGACATTTGCTGAGGACTCAGGCACTGAGCAGTTCCTCTCATTTCACACTCACGGCCATTTTGTGTGAGCAGTCACTAGCCCCATTCTTCAGGTGTGAAAACTGAGGCTCAGACGGTATCTTTCCCAACCCACATGATGCGTGGCAGAGCCTGGGCACCCCTGCCCACCCCGGTGTGGGTGCTGGAGAGGCTGTCACACCCTCTTTCAGTTTTACCACCCTGTTCAGGTTGGAGACAGCTTTCAGTTGGTGGGTCTTGAATTACAAGCTTTAGTTAGGGGTGAGATTTGAAGATTCAGCAGCAGCGAGTCCCACCCTGATTCTGTCTAGAGGGCAGTGATGATGTGGGGTGGGGGCAAGGCTGGAGACACTAACACTAGGGTAGGAGGCCCAAGAAGACAAGTAGCTCCTCCCTCCCTCTCTTTCAGGAGCAATCCCTACATATCCTGGAAGACAGATTTGGGAAAAATAGACTCTGTCACCCTAGAAAGGAGACCCACATCTTGCTTGGACCTGGATGCAAGGGTTAACCTTGAGAAGCTACAGAAGAAAGGTAAGAAACTTCCAGTGGGGTCTGTGGCAGCCCTCATCTGACAGCATCTGGTAGCAATCTCCACTGTATACACTGTACACACAACACACACCCAGCACCACCCAAGCCAAGCAGGGCTGCAGCCGCAGGGCGGCCAAGTCTGGCAGGCATGGGAAGGGCAGCCTCAGGAATCCCGCCCATCACAGCCAGCCTGGCAGTGCAGACTCATAGTGCCTCCCAGTGGCATCAGAAGGGAAGAGCAGGGAGGGGAGCTGGAGATTAGAAAAAGGACCCTCTGGTTGTGTCCCATGTTCACCAGACTCCTTGGCCCCCAACTCTTGTCCTGCTGAAATTGAAATCCTTCCAAGGATGTATCAGAATTCCCTTCTCTTGGAGCCTGTTCCTGTGCACTACCCCACCATGGCCTGCGTGCTTACTGTTCACCAAAGCTGTCGGGGGCACTGCCTGGGCCCAAGCCTGCCAAGCTGGCCAGTGGGAAGCCAGCCTCCTCCTGGTGGGTAGAGCCAGGTGGGCAGAGATAGGTGCCATTTGCTGGAGGGGAAGGCATGGTGAAATCTTTTTCAGCAACTCACCTCTGCCCAACATAGTACTTAGTACAGAGCAAGCCCCTGGCAAATGTTTGTTGAGGTAAGGCTGCAGCCTAAGGCTGAGGAAATCCCAGGAGGAATCAAGGGACTGCAGTTCCCAACTGAGGCACCAAGAAAGGTAAGTCAGAAAAAATGGGACATGGAAGGCCCTGCTCCACCCCTCACTTGGCATCCCCACCCACGACAGGAGCAAACAAGAGCCCAGGAATGGAGTCTGGTTGTTTCTTTATTGAATGACTCATTCATAAAAAACAGAAACACATTTGTGGCATGGAAAGACATAAAACGGGACTCTGAAACATAGACCCAGACCTGCCTCCTCTCCCCAGCCCAAGGAGAGCTGTAAAAAACAAGTCAGAGAGAATAAAACCCAGTCCCAGCCCTGACAGAGGCCCAACCTGAGGGTCCCCATCCTTGGCATCTGGAATGGACCAGGTGGGGTAAAGGGGGAGCCAAGGATCAGAGTGGCCAAGGAACTCAGAGCTGGGGCAACTCCATGTAAACTCCAAGATTTTGTGTGTGTGTGCGCGTGCACACGCACACGTGTGTATGTGTATGTGTGCACGCGTGCGTGTATGTGTGCGTGTGTGTGTGTGTGTAACACAGAACTTGGCTGAAGATTGGATGGAAACTCAGAACCCAGCCCTAGGTCCTAGCATGAGGCTGGGACTGAGGCCATGGAGGATATGGCATGTCTCTTCTTCAACCCCTTTCTAAGACAGGCACTGGGGCTTCTTGGCTGTGGCAGGATGGGCTGGGCTCTTGGTACCATCCATCCTTTGCCCCAGGACATTCTTGGGCAGTGTCAATGGCACTGAAAGGCCCCCAGCTGGGGCTTGGCAGGACTGCAGGCATGGAAAGAAGGGAAGGGGATGCGTGAGTTGAGTTTCCCTTCAATCCTGGTGCTGGCATCACTCTGAGGGCTGATGGGAGGAAGAGGTGACCACTGACTTCAGCTCCTCAAATCAGGGATGGCTCACACTGGGTTGACCCTCAATGCTAACAGGCCAGTCCCAGTGTAAGTTAGGGGAAGGAGGTCCTGCTCTGGGCCCCTTGCAGGCCTTAGCACCAAAAGCCTGGCACTGGGTGATGAGCTCCCAAAGTCCCACACCTGCATCCAGCCTGGCTGACTAGAGTGGGCAGTGATGGCAGCCAGGTGCAGCCCCAAAGAGACCTGGGGCCCTCCTGGATGACACAGAATCCGGCCCTGGAGTAAAGCATGGCAGGAAGGATGGGCTGTAAGTTCCAGGCTGAGTGGGAAGGGAAGGACAGGCAAAATGCAAGTCATGAAATGCAGGTAACATCTTCCCTCCTTCCTCCTGCAGAGATGAACGGAGAGCCAATGAACAGGGCCAGCAGAAGGGCCCAACACTGAGAAGAAAGCAGCAATTTGGCCAGTGTATGGGGAATCAGGGGAGCAGGCCTCCTCCCCGGCAGAGGGCAGCTGCAAGGTTCAATGCCCCCCAACGACTGTCCTGAGCTGGGCCTGGGTCAGACCTCGCCGTCCTGCTGCCATCCAGCGCTGAGCAGCAGAACTGGAACTCACTTCCCGGTGCTACAGAGGCACCCAGCAGGGGACACAGAGGAGCTCAGGGCCCCATGAAGTAAAGCAAAGGGCCTGGCGCCTGCTAGAAGACATAGATCTTGTCCCGCTGCACTGTATCCAAGTCGTCATCCAGTGTCAGCAACACCTAGGGGGTAGACATTGGGTCAGGGGCAGGGAAAGGGTCAACCTCTGCCTCTACACCACCCTCCTCACTCAGGCCAGGTGCACCCCGCCTACCAGGAAGGACCCAAACATGGCAATGGAGGACAGGAAGTGCCAGATGTCATGGTCGTCAAAGAAGTCCAGAAGGATACAGTCCCGGTTGTGTTCTCTCGACTCTGCAGGGGTTTTCTGGGGGCAGGGACAGGGACAGCAGACTGCTGATCCTGGTCTGATGAGTCCAGGGCTACACCTACTTCCCATCCCACACCATGGCATGCCCCACCCCTCCAGCCCCAGGCAGGGAAGCACTCTGTTCTGACTCGTCCATCCTTCGTCCTCATCCCCCGCATCTAAGAAACGGCCTTTTGTTACAAATTTTTCCCCAAGTTTGCTGGCTTCTGTTCTTTTCTCTGCCTTTCATCCTCCTCCCTTCATATTCCTGTTTCCTTTATCTGATGGCAGAAGGCTGTGATGACCTTTCGGCTCAGGGATACCACAAGGCCACACAGAGCCTCCCAACTCTCAGGTCTGCCTTGGACTCACCCCTGCTCTCACCCATCCTCCAGTCTCACTGTTTTCTCCAACACACCACCCCCATTCCAAGACAAAAATTGCTATGACTTGTAATATTCAAAGTCCTCCCTGGGCTACCCATGACCTCTACCCCACAAACATTTTCTGATCATCCACTCTATGCCCTCTAGTGTGCTATGCTGAGACCACAGACATGACCAAGACCTGCCCTGCTCTGCTCTCACAGAGCTGGAAGGCAGTCCAGGTGCTCACAGAGCTCGCAGTCTTCACCTACCTCCCAAATGAGTGTATTTCCTGACCTCCAAATCTGCTACGTTCATTTCTGCCTCTATTATTACTGAGGCCACAAGGCCTTCATCCCCACAGGCCAAAGCCTTTATGGGCAAGAGCAAAGCCTGTCTCCCCCAGGAAACTTTCCTGGACTTCCTACCTCACAGAGAGCTACCATTCTCTCTCCTGCATACTCCTCCCCTACCCTGACCTTGCTTTGTCTAGCCTTTGCCCTTCATTTCACACATCACATTATGTAATTTTTTTTTTTTTTTTTTGGTGGGACTGAAGTTTGAACTCAGGGATTCATACTTGCAAAGCAGGTACTCTATCACTTTAGCCACACCTCCAGTCCTACACACATCATGATGTAAAAAACAAGACATAGCCAGGCACTGGTGGCTCATGTCTATAATTCTAGCTTACTCAGGAGGCAGAGATTAGAAGGATTTCAGTTTGAAGCCAGCCAGGGCAAAAAAGCCCAACACAAAAAAAGGGATAGTGAGTAGTTCAAGTGGTAGAGTGCCTGCCTAACAAGCATGAGGCCCTGAGTTCAAGCTCCAGTTCTGCCAAAAAAAAAAAAACAATTCATAAACTAGGGGCTGGGAGGGTGGAGATGGAAGGAAAAGCCTGGGTTTGATCCCCAGCATCAAAAAAAAAAGTCATGAATTAACAGTATCTATCAAACTAGAGCATGAGAGCGTCAAAGGCAGAGACCATGTCAGACTTAGCTCTGACCACAGATTTAAAGCCTGTCACACAGCAGGAGAGTGGCTGTGGCTTCAAACCCCAGCTGCGGCTCACTGGCTGTGTGCCCTTGGGGAGGTTACTTGGCCTCTCTGAGAGTCAGCTGCCTCCTAAGTAAAAGGCGGACGTCTCTGGGATGGAATGCTGAATGCTGGGACGACTGGATGAGAAAGCAGCTATGGAAGCGCTGGTCCACAGGAGGGAAGCAGCCATGCAGGGTGACTACTCACCTGCCAGGTGCTGAGTCCCTGGAAGAAAAAGAAGAGCGCGAAGCCCCAGACGACAGACGTGCAGATGATGCACAGCAGGGGGATGAGCTTGATCCTCTCCCCACTCCGAAGCTGTGGGTATGAATGGGGAGTATGTGAATCCCTGGCCTCCACCCTGCCCACTTCCTGCTCTTCCCAGACCCTCTCCTGGGCTCTTCTGGGCTTTCAGGACTCATCCTGAAGGAAGCCTTCTTGGATTCACAGCACCTCCCATAGCCACAGGACTTAACTAGTCTACATGCTAGCAGCCGATGTCCTCCCCAGCACGGTGTCCATCTACCCAGAACCCTGTGCCAGCAAAGGCAACTGGCCAGGGGATCTCCTCTCACTCTGGGTGGCATGGGGTCCCTTGGGAAGCACCAGCTCCTCAGAGGCTAGAGCCCACCACAGATTCAGTGAGCACTACCTCCTCTCAGCCCTGTCTGCAAAGAAAGGGCCCTGTGTTGGGGTCCAGTCCAAGCGTGTGCTTAGCCCCGCGGGAGAGCTCAAGTTCAGCAGATGACTCCTGAGGGCACATGCAAGAGGCTCTGGCCTTCCTCCTCAGACCTCACTGGCATGGACAGATGGACAGAAGACGTCTCCTCCCCCTGGTGCATAGGCGAGCTGTGCCCAGTGCCCACAAAGCAGGGCGGCTGACAGGTAGCCTGGTCCTGCTCACTCACCTTCATAATAATGTAGAAGGCAAAGTAGAGCAGCAGGTTGCAAATTCCGATGGCCAACAAGTAGGAGGCGAAATCATTGGGGCGCATGATAAGCCCATAGGCAGCCCTGGCAGGAGAGACGAGAGGCTGCTGGGGCGGGAGAAGCCGCGGAGCAGAGGGCCTCTTGTAGCCCCCGTCCCACCGTGCTTCATCACTATGGTGGGCAGGGCTGAGGCCCACAGAACACTGTAGAAGCCCAGGGGTCAACAACTTTCTTCTGATCCCCCATTCCTTATGCCTAATGCTTGGAAATTGTCCGTGGCCCCTGAGGCAGCCAGTGGCTGGCCGTGTCCCCAGCTGTCCACCCAGCCAGGCCAGCGCGGGCAATGGCCACACTCACAGCGACCAGTTGATAATGTTGCCCATGACCAGCAGCACCATGCGGTCCTGGGGGGAAGCAGAGACACGGAGACTGAGAGGGGGAGAGAGACAGGGAGAGAAGTGGCAGAAGGCCCGAGTCAGCCAGTCCCCACCCCTCCCCTGGCTTTCCCGCCACACCTCCCGGTCCCCCGCAGGGAGACAGTAGATGGAGGAGGAGGAAGGGGCCGGGGAGCTGGGCAGGTACCATGTAGAGGGGTCCACTGCACTGCCGGATGCAGTCTGTGTAGAGCACATGGAGGATTCGGCGGAAGATCCCCGAGTCTGTAAGGAGAAGAGCACAGTGCTGAAGGGCATGGGGTGCCCTTCTTTGCTGGACCCCTGGCCTGTGCCAGCTGAAAGGAGCGGAGGCCTTCAGAGGGCACAGCAATACCAAGGCCTTCTTGAATTCTTCACCCACTGATTCCTCCAGGGCCCCCAGTGAAAGGGTAGAATCTGAGGAACTCCTGTGTGTCCAAGTCCTTAAGGTCACCATCCCCTCATTTCAGGGGTCCCCCAGGTCCCCTCACATGCCCTGCTCTGGACATGCCCTCACCCAGCTTCCAGCGGCCCATGTAATAGAGCTGTGTGCTGAGGAGCAGGGTGGCAATGATGTGGATGACGGAGAAGACGATCCAGAACGCCGTGTTGCCTTTGCCAAAGACCTGTCAGGAAACCCCCACGGGCAGGGTGATGAGGGGCTGAGGACAGCTGCTCCCATGCCATCCCATGCCTTCCTTGCTGGGTCTGGCTGCTTGGCCAGAGTAGAGCATTCAGAGGAGCCCAGGAAGCCCCCTTAGGGAAGGAGCAGGCTCTCTCCTGCAGAGATCTTTCCTATGGAGTGGGCAGAGGAGTCAGGCCCTCACCACGCCCAGCACAGAGAAGAAGATGACGATGGCCAGGCAGGCATAGGCACTGTAGGCGCTGGCGTTGATGTCCGGGTGCCGTTTCTGGTACAGCTTCAGCATGCAGAGTCCAGCAATCATGTACATGAACGATGTGTCTGGGTTAGGGACATGAATGAGAGACAATAATATCTACCAGGGCTGGGCGCCGGTGGCTCACACCTGTAATCCTAGCTACTTGGGAGGCAGAGATCAGGAGGATCGTGGTTCAAAGCCAGTCCAAGCAAATAGTGAGCCCCTCTCTCAAAAATACCCAATACAAAAAAGGGCTGGTGGAGAGGCTCAAGTGGTAGAGCACCTGCCTAACAAGCTCGAGGCCTTGAGTTCAAGTCCCACTACTGCAAAAAGAAATGTCCTACCAGATAACTCCCAGACCCAAGGACCAGAGAGGAAGAGAGAGCCTCGTGCCTTGCTACTGCCACAGAGTGAGTTGGTGGCAGGTTAGTACTTTAGCTCCAGTCCCATAACCATCCCTGCCACCCTACTGCTTGTCACCCAGAGTCTGACGCCTCCTGATGACAAGGACAACTTAGGGTCTTAGTCTGTGAGCATCCTAAAAGCAGAGAGCTTTTCCTGACAATCTTTGTTTTCTTGGCATCTCCACAGGAAGAGTTCAAATGCCCATAGGATATGAACGCTCACAGGAACCCCAGTCTTGGAGCTGCCTATAGGCAGGGATAGGGATGGGGTCCCTTTGGAGGGCTCAGACAGGTCCTTGATTTAGGCTTAGCCAGAGAAGAAGGAGGCCCCACTCACCAAACTGGAAATTAGTATAGTTGGGACAGACGTGATAGCAAGCACTAAGTAGCCCCTCCATCATCAGTGCTGTGCCCATGGCGTAAAACAACCCGAAGTGCTTTGGGATCCCGCATTCCTGTGGGAGGAAGGCAAGGCAGGGTGGAGGTGAGGTGGGATAGGAGAAGAGACCCAAAAGAGGGAGCCCTGAGAGAGCAGGGGAAGTAAAGGAGCGGGATATATGTCAAATGGGTGTGTGTGAGGCTGGGCAGAGCAGGGCAAGGCAAGGCAGGGGAGGGGAGGTCAGGAAGGCTTGGGAAGGTCAGGGCAGGGCTGGTAAGGGGAAGGCAGGGATAGGCACAGGGAGGGGAAGGCAAGACAGCGCAGGGAAGGGGAGAGCAGGGTAGGGAAGGGGAAGGCAATGGAGGGCTGTGCAGGGCAGGGCAGGGTGGGTATGGGCAGGGAAAACCTGGATTGGAGAGGGCTAGGCTGGGCAGTGTAGGAGGGCAGTTCGGGCAAGGCAGGGCAGGGCTGGGTTGGGCTGGGCTGGGCTGGGTGGGGCAAGGCAGGGAAAGCCTGGGCAGGGCAGGGCAGGCCAGGCCAGGGAAGGTCTGGGGAAGGCAGGGCAAGACAGGGCAGGATAGGACAGGGCAGGGCAGGGCAGGACAGAACAGAACAGGACAGGACAGGACAGGACAGGACAGGTCAGGGCAGGACAGGACAGGTCAGGGCAGGACAGAACAGGTCAGGGCAGGACAGAACACAGGACAGGGCAGGACAGAACAGAACAGGACAGGACAGGTCAGGGCAGGAAAGAACACAGGACAGGGCAGGGCAAGGCAAGACAGGACAGGACAGGACAGGGCAGGACAAGTTAGGGCAGGGCACAGCAGGATAGGACAGGACAGGACAAGACAAGGCAGAGCTGGGCAAAGCAGTTCTGGGCAGGGCAGAGCTGTCTGGGCAAGGCCAAGCCTGCCAGATGGGATGTGTAAGAGCCAAGGTCTGGGGTTCGTGCTGGAGCTACGGTCTCAGCATCTCAGCAGGCGGGCAGATGCTCCTCACCAGGGCGTAGAGGTCATTGCGCAGCAGGGCCCGGTTGTGGTTGATTTCCCGCTGCAGGATGATGAGCAGGAAGAGCAGCCCCAGCAGGATGTACCCCAGGTTGCTGAGGATGTTGTTGAAGGCGCTAGAAGGGGGCAACACCAGGCCTCACGCCAGGGCCTCTTCCCCTGACTGGGCAGGCATTCATAAAGTCCCCACCCCTGGTCTGGTCTCCTTGCCCTGGAGCAGGACCTCCCCCAGCACAATCCCCACCTGAGGTTGCCCAGTGGGTGGGCACAGAGGAAGTTGTAGTAGCAGATGTCCTGATTCCCCGTGACATTTACCACCTGCAGCAGGAGAGGGGACAGAGCGGGGAGCTGGTCACATGCCCAACTCAGCCCATAGCCCAAGCTACAACCCAACTGACCAAAGGGAGCAAGCAGCACAACAGCTAACATGGCTGCATACGTAATAAGCCAGACACATGCTCCCTCTGAAAGAGAGATGCCAAGTGGCCCAGGCACTGTGCTCCTCCTTAGGTGTGGCTGAAAATCTCAAGGCATGACTATGACAAAAGTTCTCACCATACAGTACAGAGAAAAAGGAAGAGAAACCAAACACATCTAAGGCCCCATGACTTCCGTTTCATAATCCCTGCCACAATGCTCTCATGCTGTCCCCATTTTGCAGATGAAGAAGCTGATCTTGGGGAGGGTGATTTGCCCAAGGTCCCTCAGCTGCTAAGGCAGACATGGGATCTGAAACCAGCTCCCATGACCTATATGATCTGTGCTCATAGCAGAGCTCCTTGCTGGGTGTCTCTGCACACTGGGCCAGAGTACCAACTTATGGCCAAGGTAAGTCAGTGCCAGCCCTCACCGTCTGGTAGGTGATCACCAGCTGCACCACAGGAAGGGCATAGAAGACAGCAATGGTGGCAATGTTCCTGAGGAGTAGGAAGGCGGTGGTGAGGTGGGCAGGACCTGAGCAGCCACCCCCTCACCCAATAACAGGAGTCCTGTCTGCTCAACCCACTCACCAGAAGTAGATCTGGTATTTTTTCCTCAGAACACGCTTGTCCTTCCGTGCCAGGTCAGCTACACAGAGGTATTGCTGGGGAGAAGCAGGAGTGAGGCCCCACTTACCCACCACCTGGGAAAAGCCTATCACCCAGATACTGGTTGGACAAGAGGGGCAGAACTTGGACCCTCTGACAGGTCCAAATTCAGGTAGGCAGGGTTCTTGGCCACCCTGTTGCTGTGGCCAGTTAGACCAAGAGGGTTTGGCCAACCAGCCCAGAAGGGGCTAGAGATGAGCTAGTTTCCCCTGGAATCTCTCCTGCCCCTGTTCAGTTCTGTCCCTCTGCTTCCCTGAAGTGCCTCAAAGATGTGCTGGGACCTGAACATAGAATGTCCCTTCCTCCAGAAACCCCTGACCAGGGCCAGGACCATGGGTGTCAGACCTTGGTGCGAATAACATTCTTGTCTGAATCGATGTCAGTCAATGTGTCATAATCATCCTCCTCCACAGAGCTCATAGAGTCCAGTCGTGGCCGAGTACCCACTGGGTCAAAGGAGCGGTCTGGGAAGGGCAGGGACAAAGGGGTTGGGACAGCGGACACAAAGCCAAAGGTCTGCCCCCACCCATCTGAGGCAACTGTCAAAATTACTGGGCACTGGGGAAAAGGCAAATTGTGGGCCAGGGCTCAGAGCAGAGGTGGAGGGGGTTCAGGCACTAGGTGATGTCAGATGCTCCTAAGTCAGGGGGGAACAAGAGGGGCTCTTCAAGAGGTCACCAAACAGGGTGGCCCCAGCTTTGCTCCATTCCTGGCTCCCCTCTCTGACCTAAGGCTTTCCAGGTCAGGATACCGAGTGGACCCCAGACCCTGGACACAAGCAAAAGGATTGAACTCAGCCAGTCATGCTGATTAGAAGGTGTCTAGCTCTGTGGATTCTGAGAAGACATGGTCTTGGCTGCCCCTGGGTTAACGTTCCAGTGGGCCTAGGGCCCAGGCAAGGGCCAAAGGCTGCCCCTCTTCTGCCCTCCTCTGTCTCCTGCCCTCAGAAGCCTCCTCCTATGACATCACCTGACCAAAGCTACCAGAGGCCAAGATCCCGATGCCAGCAGACAAGGAGGGAGGTGGCTCATCTGGCTGGAGGTATCTGGGGGTGCCAGCCTGCTTGCATCAGGGGCCAGTACCTGTCTACCTCAGAAGACACACAAGCTGGCATCTTTGGTATTAGATGGGGAAGCCATGCACCAAGCACCTTTGTGGCCCCAGAGCCAGCAGGCTCCAGTCAACTGCCCTGGCAAGAGCTGATTGGTAGGACAGCCCCACCCCCTCCCCACATCTACCCATGGCAATGCACAGCTGCCGCATCTGGCCAGAGGGGAGGCGCCGCTTGAACTGGTCGTGCCCTTCAAAGGAAAGGGAAAGTTACCGGGGAACTGGGGCCAAGGAGGAAAGAAGAGGGAGGAGAGGGGCAGGAGAACAGCAGCCCTTCCCTGGTTCCAGCGTCTGGCAGAAGAGGCAACCGCCCACCATGACATTTCACCCAGCCAACAGATACCCTACACCACAAGCCCCTTCTTGCCTAAGTTCACTCACCCTGGTAGCCGTAAGAGAGGTCCCCAGTGCCTGTGCTGTCAACCAAACCGTCGGTGGATCCGGAACCATTTTCTGCAGGCAACAGTAAGTGGTGAGACAGGTGGGAGAAATCACAGGGAAGGGGACCCCAGTCCCACCCCTAGGGGGCTCTAAGTAGCTGCAAGGGCCCAAGCATCAGAAGACTTGGAGGTGGCAGCTGAAGGAGACCAGCTGAAGGAACTGGGCAGGTACAGTCTCTGAATTTGACACTTACCAAAGGAGCCATAGTTGTAACCCTCATAAGGGGCACTGCCAGGAAAGGAATCGGCCAGGACTCGAGGATGACCTGCAATGAGAAGTCAAGATCTCCTTAGCTTTGGAAGCAGAGAGAGAACTAAAGCCAAGGGGAAGACAGAAGGGAGAATGTGAGAAGACAGCCACGTAAGGACTATACCAGCAGCAAAGAATAACACATATCCAGCAAACACACCTCCCCTCCCATCCCCCACCACATGCCCCAACCTTGAGCGTGCCTCTAAATAGAAACACGCACTACCCTGTGTCTTCCCTAGAGACAGATGAGAGTCAGGAAAAGGACGCATCTAAGCCACCAGCAGCAAGGACAAATGATATCCAGCTTCCCAGGCCACCCCCCCCCACCGGGTGGCCTTTGTGTTTTATCTCCCTCTCCCTGGACAGCAGCTCCTCTGCCCACTGCCCCTGGGGCTTACCAAGGAGAGAAGCTGAGAGAGAAGATTCCAAGCGGGAGGAGGATAGAAAGAGATGAAGATGGTGGATGGAAGAAAGAGAGAGAGAATGGAAGGTTAATAATCCCAGAGACTGGACTGGAGAGAGGGGGCTCAAGTGGTAGAGCACTTGCCTAGCAAGTGTGAGACCCTAAGTTCAATTCCTAGTATCACAATTAAAAAAAAAAAAATCCCACAAACTAAGTCACACTGACTGAGGCAGAAAGTGCAGCTAGACATGAGGGACAGACCCAGACCAAGTAAGAGCTTCCAGGGCATGCATGAAACTCCAGCCCCATTTCCACTGGTAGAATGTTACTCCCAATCTGAACAAACAAAAGCCCCCAACACTTCTCATCCAACCCCAAGGGAACCATTTAGCACTTTCTGGCCCCAGCACTAAGCAAACCTTGCCCTCCCCACCCAAGTCCCTGGAAGTACCACTTTCTGGGCAGGCTCTTTCTATGGCCACCAGCAGGGTCTTCTTCCTCTGTCTGCAGGGAAAGAATTCAGAGGACATACAGATGAGGCAGGCTGGGGACCCCTCTGTACCTGGCTACCCTTCCTTGTACCCTCCGCCTGTTCTGATCCCATGGTTCCTCCCATGCTGGGGAGCAATACGGGGTCCCCCTGCTTGGGAAGGAGATTGAGGAGAGGAGCTGGTTTCCAGGAAAGTGGACCATGAACCACAACCCTAAAGGTATCTGCCTTGCTATGCCCTGAGGACATTTTCAAGATTACCTTGAGCCAGAGCAGTTCCCGTAACGCTATGTCTCCCAGGCCCTCTGTCTAGTTCACCCCAGAGCAGAGAAGGGCCTGGCAGGTCTACCTTACCTCCAGTTCTCCCAACAGGCCAGGAGGACGGTCAGCAGGTAGAAGGAGAGAAAAATACCCAAGCAAAAGAGCATACCACCAACATAGGCCTCAGCTACAGGGAAGGAAACAGGAAGGTGAACATGGCAACCCTTCCAACACTGCCCAGCATGGTGCCCAAGGGCCTTGGTGATCTGGCTCCTCTGCCCAGCCTAAGCTCTTGTCACCACTCTTCTAAACGCAATGCCCAGGCAGCGTGAACAACTGGTAACCCACCAATATTCCAAACACCAACATCACCTTGTCTTTGCTCGTGTTACTTCCTGTCTAGAACTTTCTCTTCTACTTCTTGAAAACTCCATCTTGACATAACCTTCAAACCACAGCTCAGGGACTGTGTCCTCTAGGAAGTCTTCTCTGCCCTACGTTCCTGTAGTGACCTATTCTTGGCTCATCGTAGCATTCAGCACCCTGCAGAGCCCCAGTCTCGTGGCCCTCTACATAGGAGCTCCTTGAGAACCTCAGCCTGGCACAGCACCATGCATACAGGAGGGGCTTAATAAATATTTGCTTAATAAATAAGCTATATATGAAGCACAGCTTCTTTCACCTCCTACCACAATTCCTTATTTTTATCTTACACTCTCCCGTTTATAAAGGGCCCCATTTAATCACTCAGTAAATATTATCCAGCTCCAACTAGAGGCCTAGTATTTTGCCGATAATTTTGTACCAAGCCTCCCAACTGAGTAAGTCTAATGGGTCAGTTTTGATTACTTCAGTTATGAACACAAGATCTGAGACCCAATGAGACTCCACTGATGATGCGTGGCAAAGCGTGAACAGGAACTTTGCTCCATGAAGACTCTGTCCTACATTATACCAAACCCAGGTCTTGGCTCTTGAAGTCTGCCAAGAACACCCCTACCCACTTCATCAGCCTGCTTGGGTAGCTCCTTGCCACCCTTCCTATTCAGAGAACACCCTCTTCTCCTAGGTCTGAGAGGAAAAGCCAAGGAGGCTTGACCGTCCCACTTGGCCACCCACACTCACACGTGACTGCTTGAGAGACCAGCACAGACAGGGTTTTCTGGCGGTGCCCTTGATCAACCGGTTCATCTGGAAGTAAAATGTCAAAGTGGCAAAAAAAAAAAAAAGTGTTGCCTGGAGCTTGGCTAGAGTTGATGGGATCAGGCCTTGGAGTGTTTAGGGCCAAAACCCCATATCCCATCACATCCACCAACCAACAGCCATGCAGGCTTTTCTACCTGTAGGAAGCCACAAAGCCCTGCCTGTCCTTAGCCAGGCACAGAGCACAAAATGTACCTTCTACAAAGGGGTAAAAGGGCAAGGAGCCCCCGCAGGCCTGATCTTCAGTCTTCACCACCACCACCACGTAAAAGCTGTTGCTGGGGAAGTCTTTGCGCTGCAGGAGAAGGAGAAGGAGGAAGAGGATGATGGTGATGGCCAGCAATGCCACCACCAGATTCTGAAAACTTACTGTAGATCAGACATTATGATAAGCACTTCACATACGTTATTTTACTTAATCCTCACAAAGATTCCCCCCTCCCTATTTAGTTTTATTTTTGCAGTGCTGGGTGTCGAACCCAGGATCTCACACATGCTAAGCAAGCACTCTATCACTGAGCTCCACCCAGGGGAACTGAGGCTCAGTGAGATAAGTGGCAGAGGATAAACAGGAACTCAGCTCTTCAGTCCTTGGTCATGGATTCTGTCCCACGTTACACTGTAACCCACCAGAGCCCAACCGCTAAACTACACTATGGCCAGGTGAGCAAAGGAGCATGTAACCCACACAGGTTGTCATATTTTAGGTTGGCATCACCCAGGAGAGAAAGTGGAGGTGCCACATTGCCCATAAATTGCACAGCTTGATGTGAGGTGAACACATGGCCCCCCTTCTCCTGCCCCAGAATAGGTCTTGGCCTTCAGCAAAGGTATCACCCAGCACTGAAGAGGGCCCTGACACCCTTTCCTCTCCTCATTTGCATCATAATAAATGAAATAAAGACTGTCCTTTCCTATCCCCAAAGACACCTGGGATTATGATTTCACACTTACATGTAATAAGGGACCCAAACCACACGAACTGTGACTCAGCCTTGTGTAGGGTAGGAATAGGGCAGAGAATAGTCACGCAGCTTATCAGCCAGACACATCTCCCGAGGGCCACGTGCATTTCCTACCTGCACAGTGATGGCTGCCTTCTTCGTCATAGTCTGATACATGCCGATGAAGGCTACATTGTTGTCCAGGTCATAGACAGGGCACTACAGAGAGAGGAGGGGAGAGGCACATGGATTTGGACCTGCCTCCCCTGTCTACTGGCCCTGCTACCCACTAGTGGATGGTAAAAGGGTAGGCAACTTACCAGGACATCCTGGATGGAGATGACTGAGCAGGGGAAGGCCTTGTTCGAGGTCACCTTGACAATCACGGAGTCCACTCCCTCAGGAAACTCATACTTGAAGTACTAAGGGAATAGGAAGGGTAGGGAGAACCCTATCTCATGATAATGTTCTCTTTGCCCTTCTAGAAGGGAACAATCTCCCAGAATCCTCTTGGGTTGGTCAGGGGAGGTTCTCTGGGGAAAAGGACCTTCAGCTCCACTAGCTATACATCATCCCCTTCAACCTCATGACAGCACCTAAGAAGAAGAGCAGGAAAGACAGCCACCAGAACCATGTCTTTGAACCGTCCTCAGGTGCCTGTCCCTCACCATATAGTGCCAGAGCTTCTGCTTCCAGAGTCCCTCCATGGAGAATGAAACCACTTGCAAGTCTCAGCAAGACCACCAATCACTCCTGCTCTCATATTCAATCTCCTATATGTCCCTTGACCGGGTGGTAGAGTGGGGTGGGGGACCATGGGGAGATTGACAAGGGATTTTACCTGGGGTTGGGCCGCAGTGGTGTTGAAGCTAAACAGTTCCCCGGTCCTGCAAGACAGAGAAGAGCCCCCCACTCCAGTCATTCTAAGGGCTTGGGAAGGAGGCCAGGCCCAGTGGGACCCTTGCTTTACCCTGCAGACCTGAGCACAAAGTTGTCCATTCGGCTGACCCGGAGCTGGTATGTGGTGTTGACTGGTGACAGTGTGGACACATCCACGTAGAAGAACTGGATCTCAGACTCATTCTTGGTGGGGGGCTGACACAGTGTTCGTTCCACCTTTTGGTAGAGGTACTTGCGCTGATACCTAGGACCAAAGGTAGAGAGTATGGAATGTGACTACTGCCCAAGCTGGCTGTCACTCCAGAGGAGAGAGGCCCCAGTTCTACCTATCCCAGTTTCCCATACCTCCTAAGCCCTAGGCTGACAAGTTCCAGGCTGCCTGACTTGTCATGCCATTGACCGGCCTTTGGGCTCAAGGAATGGGGAAGAGAAATGGAGGGGATTCTGGGTGAGGCTCTGAGCAAGGCCTGGCCTAAGCCAACCCATCCCTGATCCCCAGGTCCTACTCACAGCCCTCGCAGGATTAGGGGCACCTGGAAGGACACCACAGCCTCCTTCTGGCGGACCACGAACAGCAAAGGCGCCCCCTTCTGCTTGTTCAGGACGTTCACGGACACGCGCACACCCTCAGTCTGCAGATGACAAGGAAGTCACTCAAATTCTGCCCCACCCACCCCGAAATGGATGGCTCTGGAGACTGAGCCCTGCCCTCCCTCATCCATCCTGGCCAGTCTGGGAAGCCACCTATGCCCCTTCTTCTATCAGAACAAGGCCAGTCTCCAGGAGGGACTAGCACTGAGGGAGAAGAGAGGTTCAGGAAGAAGGTGGCTCATGGATGCAACTGCAGGGCCTAGGGCTAGAACAGGACCCACAGCAGAGATCTCAGGAATCTCCAGGATATCCCATTCCTAGCCCTGTGCAAGGGACTCACAGGTCTGCACACATAAGCATGTGAACACACACATACACATACACACACACACACATTTCATATTTCTAAGCCTCAATTTCCTCACTCTCACTTATAGCTATGGAGGATCATATACAGGACAGTGGGAACTTAAAGAAAAAAATAAAAATAAGTAAATCCTGGAAATATTTATTATTGGGCTCTGAAACCCAATCATTTCCCAAAGGGACAGACACTGCAGCTTTGGGGTGACCCAGACATACAGAGACAGGACTCCAAGCAGGAGGAAATCAAACTTTAGGGAACCAGGCACTGAAGACAGATCTGGCTTGCGAGGATCCAAACCCCTTTCTATCCTGAAGAAAGACCCAGATTCTGCATTCTCAACTCCATTGCCTACCAGTAAATCCAGATCCAGTCATGGAGACAGATCAAGAGAGCTACTGGGCAAGAGTCCTTGCAGCCAGGCTGCAAGAACTCTGCCCATTCTCTGCTCTGACCCATCTTGACTTCCTGTACCTAGCTGGAACCATGTTTAGCTTTCAATGCTGGGAAGAAATTAATGAGCAGTAAGTAGAGTGAGTGGGATTCTTCACAGGGGACAAACTCCCTTTCTTTTACCACCCAACTTGCAGTTGGCCTTATCTCTGCCACCCTCAACTTACAAGGCCAGCTGGCTTTCTGAGGTAGGGAGAGTTCTGCATTCATCTTTCTTGGGGAGTCTGAACTGTAACTTGCCTGGGAACAGCCTTTTTGTTCTGGGCCTGTTTCACCTCCTGGGCTTGTTTGGACAAAGATCAGAAAACCTGCTTTCCTTTGCACCCAAACCCCACAGAGTTGCAGGTTCTGGGGATCATGGCAGGGAGCAAGCGAGGCCCACTGAGTTCACAGCTGGTGGAAGGGAAGATGGGCATAAGTCAACTTCCAAAACTGCCCCGTTGGCTCTTCAGAGAAACGCTGGTGGCAAAGCTCTGGTCAATCGTGAGGCTCCAGTGTGGTTCTGAGAAAGGGAAACCCTAGCGGCTGGTTCCTGGGGCCTCCTAAAACGGGAAGGCAGGGGCAGGATCCCCTGGCCCCGGTCTGCTCACCCACTCACACCAGCCCGCCAGCCAGCCCCAGCCCTTACCCGGTTGCGGGTCACAGTGTGATTGAAGGTATAGATGTTGACCAGCAAGCTGTTGACCTCGTCCAAGTAGGTGTGCTCAAACTCGGCATCTCTCTGCGAGACGTTCTTGGGCCCCAGAACCCCCAGATGGCTGTCGGCCGAGGCCACCAAGAGCACCAAGTAGGGCAAGCCCAGAGCGAACATGGCCCCGGCAGAGCGGCAGTGACAGCGGTAGCGATCGCAGTGGTGGGGGCGGTGGCGACAGGCGACAGGACACCTCCGGGACAGATTGCGGCTGCGGCCGCAGCTTCCAGCATCTCACCAGGACCAGAACTTTAACCCCGGCCCGAGATTAGGAAATATCCCCTCCCTGGAGCCGCGGAGGCGCTCCCGGGGCCCGGGAGGGGAGGGGACGGTGGGCAGGGGGGAGGGGAGGGAGGGATGGGGGCTACCGGAAGGGACCCCAGCTCGCGAGGGGCTGAGCACGCGCCTGCAGCCCCGGGCCGGGACCGTGAGAACCAGTGGCGGCTGGTTGCCGGGAGCCCGAGACGCCAGGGGAGGAGAAGCTGGCGGCCGGGGCGGCCGCGAAGGGAGGGGAGTCGAAGGGTGAGGGGCGTGCTAAGCGGCAGCGACTCGACGCCGTGCGGAGCAGCGAGTTTTCCGGGACGTGGTCCCTTTAAGGGCGGGCAGACGGGGCGCCCCGGCGCTCGGAACTCGGGAAAGTGAGTTGCTCCGCGCGGCGGTAAACAGCAGGGCAGCCGACCCGCCCGCTGACGTCAGGCGAAACTGACACAGATTTAAAGGGCCAGCTCTCGGATTTGCTCTTAAAGGGGCTGCAGCCCTCCAACGCCGTCCCCAGTTCCTCCACTACCGCCTCCTCTTTCGCTATCCTGCCCATCCCTGGAAATTCACGTTGATCGGGGAGTTTTCTATGAAGGATCTCTAAGTGTTGGGTTCTTGTTGAATTCTTCCCTTTACTCAAACATAGAGATACCCCCGCCCCCACCACCGACATCCTCCACTACCCCCCCACCCCATCATCACTGCTACATTTTCTCTCCTGGGTTCTTAAAAACCAAAGAACTCAAGGCATTAGTAAACAGGACTGCGGCCCTGCCGACTGGGGGGAGGCTGAGGCAGAAGTGCCTAGGCTTCCTCCTCGCCCAGCCGTACCTCTCACCTCTCGCGGCAGGGGCATCTTCCAAGCTTGTGGATAGCTCGCCTCTGCTCTGCAGAGGCTGTTACAAGGCCTATTGAGAAATACTGGCCTTCAGTGTAAACCGGTGAAAACTTTTCTAGGAAATATTTTGGCATTGTGCTTCAAGAAGCTTAAAGAGCTTTTAACCCTCTGATCCCATAATTCCACTCCTGGGACTATCCTAGGAGTAAGAAATGCAGGAAAAAATGTGTGTGCTGCTGTGCACATCACTGTGATACTTGGTAGGTAGGCAGGTACTTTACCACTTGAGCCATGCTCCCAGCCATCACTGTGGAATTTGGAAAACTCAAAGGAAACGATATGAATGTCCATAATGGAGTGGTTAAATGTACTGTTATCACGAAGCCATAAAAAATGATGCCTAGCGGCTGGGGGCGTGGCTCAAGTGGTAGAGTTGAGACTAGCAAGTATGAGGCCCAGAGTTCAAATCCCAGTACTGCCCGCCCCCCCCCCCCGCAAAAAAGATGCCTAACATTTTAATGGACAAGTAAGCGAGAACTAGGATATGACACTAAACAGTACATATCTTAAATACATAGAATCTACCCAAAGAAAACACTGGAAAAAAACGCATAAAAATTTTAGCAAGAATTGCCTTTGAATTTCAGATGATTTAAAAAAAGTAACATGTGTATTATTCTCAAATCCAAAAGAAAAGTAACTACATTGTGTGTGGTTTTTAAAATTTTATTTTTATGGTTTTTTGTTTTTGTGGTACTGGGGTTTGAACTCAAGGAGTACACCGTGAGCCACTTCACCAGCCCTTTTTTGTTAAGGGTTTTTCGCGATAGAGTCTCGAAGAACTATTTGTTGGGTGGCTTCAAACTGTGATCCTCCTGATCTTCTTTGCCTTGTAAGCACTGCTATTTTTATGCTTTTTAAAAAGGTACAAGAGCACAGGCTTAACTTATGTGAGGCCATGTATTCAACACCCAATACCAAAAACAAACAAGGAAAATGTATAAATTTGCTACAATGTATGTTTTGATTTAGTTTTTGGTTTTTTTTGGGTGCTGGGATGGAACCCAGGACCTTGCCCAATGCAGCAAGGCAAGCCCTCTATCACCAAGCTACATCCCCAGCCCTTGCATTCCATTTCTTGTAAGACATATTTTAAGAAAATAACTATGAAGCCCTGAGTTCAAATTCCAGTACCACCCAAAAAAAAAGGAAACAAAATGTTGAACTCTAAAGTCAGACATCCTGATGAAGGCACTAATGCCAGTGAAGGTTCAGAGTTCTCTCTACTGGCAAAATGGTAGCAGTCTCAGCTCCTGGTCCTGCTTTACTACCAGGGTATCATTCCAATGATTGGTTATAAATATTTATTCATTATCACAATGAATATTTAATAAGCACCTACTATGTGCAGGCTACTGTTCTAAGTTAATGGGCCGATGGTGAATCAGAAGTAGTGCTGACCTCTGTCCAAATATAGCATACTCCAGGATGAAGGCCAAATTCCAGCTACTCAGAAGTTGAGGCAGGAGCATTGTAAGACTGAGGCCAGCCTGGGCCACAAAGCTGGAATAACACCTTGGGGGTTTCTTCGGCCATCCCTTCATTGCACAGATGGGTCAACCCCAAAACAACTTATTAGTAGCTCACTACAGTCAAGTGCTGGGGTGGGGGTGGGGTGGGGATTAAACCCAAGGCTCCATGCATGCTAAGCATGTAGTCTACTGCTGAGCTACATCCCTAGCACCTGCACGCAAGCCTTGCACCTTGGCGCAGAACTGGTTCCAGCACACCTGGACAAGCTTGGGTGAGCAGACCCTCAGCCTAACAAAGGTAACTTTGTAACCAGCTTTCCATGCAGTCAGCTGCCCAGCTGCCCAATTTCCAGAATCTGTAAGATTTCCATATACCAACTGGACTTCTTTCACATGATAACTCTGCTTGCCGTTAAATAATCTGAAATGCCAAGAAACACTCCCCCACTGAGTTTGAACTTCTCAGCTTGTGGGCTGCTATCATTTAAATGGTCTACATCCAGAAAATTTTCTTGATGTGAGAATCACAAGCTGACGATCACAGAGTCTCTGCTATAGGCTGGTTAGGGCTGTGGCTGCACTGAATAAACCCAGACAAGGTATAGCAGGGAAAAGCCTTCTAAATGTGACTCTTGGCTGTTTAAACTGCACAATTGGGGCTCTACTTCACACTTACTGAATCACAGCTGAACCCAAAGAAGTCTGAATTTTAACAAACACTCCAAGAGCTTTTATAATAAAGTTTGAGAACTAGTGCCCTAGGACCACACAACTGTGCACCGTCAACATTCTTGTTTGCCTCCTTTCTTCTGATAACATCTTGACAGAAATGTATTCAAGCAAATCCAGAAAGAATCCTTCCTTTTGCAAGGTCTCGAGGGCTTAACCTGTCAATCTATATCCTGGGTGTTCAGACCTTATGCTAGGGCAGCATCCCCAGATTTTCTTGCTGTTCCCAGGTCTGCAGAACTTTTCTTAGTCCCTGCTCCACCCCTTAGGAGGGAACAGCACGACCTGTTATGAATAGGCCCTTTCTGAGGTCTGGCAGAGAGGAGAGAAGGCTTTTTTGTTGGCTGTAGCTGTCAGCACAAAAGAAGGGCAGTTCTAGACTTATGAGTGCTTTTGGTCTGTGCAGGTCCAGCTACTCCATTCTCTGCAATATCACACAGAAACCTCAACTCAACCCCGGCCTTGAAGGGCAGGGGCATAAGGCTCAGATAGATGATTCCTTCTACTTCCCTATCACCCAGCTATGCATGGGTCCAGTTCCACTTTAAGTCACAAGGAATTTGTGAAGTTTGGAGCAAGAGACAGGGGAGCGGGGGAACTTCAGCTGGCTTAAAAGTATTGTTAGAATGAGCTGAAGACAACAAGAGCAGGATATTGTAAGAAGCACAACGAATAGATTAGCTGAATCCTATTAAATACATAATTTAGGAATCTGGGAGTGGCCACACCTGTAGATGGGTGGCAGAAAGAAAACAGACTCCAGAATGGAGTAATGGTATAATTTTAACCCAGAGAGAAAGGTTGCAAAACCAACCTCAGAGAAATAGACTTAAAGTTCCCTGTTTTCATCATGATCATAAAAAGGGCTCTCTATTTGAAGCTTACAAAGAATTGTCTGGCTGAGCACTGGTGGCTCACACCTATAATCCTAGCTAGTCAAGAGGCAGTGACCAGGAGGATCATGGTTTGAAGTCAGCCAAGGTTCATAAGACCTTATCTCAAACATACCCAACACAAAACAGGACTGCTGGAGTGGCTCAAGAGGTAGAGTGAGCATGAGGCTGAGTTCAAACTCCAATGCTGCCAAAAAAAAAAAAAAAAAAAAAAACGTCTGGACGTAGGCAGCCCCAGCAGCAGGAGTTCAACACTTTTCTTCCATCATTCAACAGACCCTTGTGTCTGGTTCTCTCTCCTTCAAGGACTGTGAAAACAATGTACATTAGACTGGGAATCAGTTACAGATACAGGATTTACTCTGCCACTCTGAGGATAAGGTCTCAAACCTCTAATACTGTTTCATGGTAAAAGCAAGGACTTTGAGGTAAAGCACTTGCCTAGCGAGCATGAGGTCCTGGATATGATCCCTAGCACTTCTTTAAAAAAAAGCAAGAGCTGCTGGGTGTGGTGACACAGCCTGTAATCTCAAGCACTCAGGAGGCTGAGGCAGGAGGGTCACAAATTCAAGGCCAGCCTGGCCTCCATAGAGAGACTGTGGGGGGATGGTTCTAGTTTAAGGCTCAGTATCACAAACAGTAAGGAGTCTGATGTCAGAAAGTTTCACAGTGAAATCCCTACCCTACATTGTGTGTCTTAGGCAAATTAAACTGAGCAACACTGTACAGTGGTGCTGGGTTTGGCTGCGGTCACCACAGGCACCAGAGCAGCTTTGACCACGTGGGCAGGACTTTTTGCCAGAGACAGATCAGTCACTTTCCATTTCCTAAAACTGGGCTTTCATCGTTCATCCTGGGAAATGGCTACAATACACTCAGGCCCTGCATCTGCTTCCCTCTGGCCATGTGATGGAACCCTGAGAGCTTTCCAGGAAAAGAGGCTGGGCATCAAGTTGCAGAAGACAAGCAGATAAATAATTGATCAGCTCAAATCTGTGCCTCCAACCATCACTGATAATGAGCCAGCCAGTCACCCTCCACCTTCAGGAAAGCCTGGGCCTCTGGCTAAGAAATCAAGCTGCAACTGAGCTTTGCCCATCTCTGGCTATATCTAAGGATACATGCAGCTCCCCAGTCCTATCCAAGTTGTTCTCAATAATAGAAAAGGTCCCTCTCTTTATACTCTGGCTCACATCCCACACCTTCTCAGAGTTTTCACTGGGTGATTCTCTCATTCATAATACCTGTGTTCCTCTGAACCAGTCCAGGCTTTTGTTTTCAACCTTCTCTTTTCCTATAAAAATTAACTTTATTAATTCCATCTAGTTCTAACCAAACAATTCTAAAAGATGTCTCAGAACCTTTCGTAAGGACAT